ATGGGCATATCAAGTTCACTAAACTATTTCTACCCCAAAAATATTTTTAAATTTCTACAACAAAAAAAGAGAATGCAAGTTTCTTTCAATTAAATGTCCAGATACACTCTCCTGTGGACACAGTGTGAGCGACTTTTAAGACCCCCTAGGATGGGTAGCATCAGCACCGTCAGACACCTGTGTGGACCAAGACGACGATCGCTGTGACACCAGGGGCAGGTGACCAGGCTAGGTGCCTGCTCTCAGCCCTCCCAGGGCTCCCAACACTCACAGCAGAGCCTGCTGGGAACGGACTGTGGCCCCGCCGTGGTGCCGGAAGCTTTCCCCCTTATACTGCCATGGCTTACCCCGTTTTCCAATGGCCACCTCCTGAAGGAGTCCATCCTTGACCAATAATCACTCTAAAACCCATCTTCCCATAACTGCCCCAACTCTTACCTTCTTTTTTTTTCACAGCACTTCTTACAATATGACCTCATTTAATACGAGTACTTGTTTATAGTCTGCCTCCCTAAAGCTCAGCTGCACAAGGGCGGGGCCTTGGTTTGGTTCTCTCGTGTATCCCCAGCTCACAGGACAGGGCGGGCCATTAGCAGGCATGCAATGCATACTTGCTGAATGAACACACAAGCAGGCTAGTGGGCCACACTCCTCTCCAGGCCCGTTGTCCTGGCCTGAGAGAAGGAAAAACTCACCCCCATCTGTTCTTGAACCCACCAAAGACAAGCTAAGCACCCACCTTTTGAGCCAGTGAGCGTAGGGCAAGGTGGACACAGAATGAAACCCACCAGGCCCAGAGCAGCAGCACCCAGGCCCTGGAAAATTGGAGCAGCAAGAGAGCAACAGGTCTCTATCAAAGTCGGAGGGGCACTCCCTCATCAAAGTCAGGAGTCCTGGAGAGAGCGATAGAGCAGCGGCCCTCCCCACCACCTGCCGTCCTGAGCGTTCCATCCCATTCCTCCTTAACAAGATTAAATTGCTCGAAAATCAACTGCCTTCATGAAGCCTCTGTGCCCACCAAGCTGTCTGCTCATAGTTTATAATCCTGCCCTGATGTTCTTGCTTCAAAGCCAAAAGCCTAAGTTTCTGGTTTGAACCTCACTTTTTTTGTGTGTCTTTTAAGAAACTTGTTTCTAAATTTAATGCCAGGTCAATGAGAGCAGGTTTGAATAGCTCACTGAGGCAAGATGACCAAACAATTCCAGGCTTAGATATGTGTACGGGAGGTGGGAACACAGAAGATGTGGGAGACTATCAGAAATCGGCACACTTCAAGGCAGGCTGAAGAGGAACAGTGATGGAGGGACAGCAGGCAGGGTTTGGATATAAGCAAACCCACTCACTGACCTTTGTTAAGCAAGCTCCAAATCACCAGAAGTAACGGCGACCATCCTTTACTGAGCACATACTGGTGTTCCTTCACATGGCTTCAAAGCCTGAGCATGACACTGACCCCTGACGACAGTACTAATAGTGTTCTAGGTTACAGGTAAACTAAGTGAGGCGTCGAGAAGTTAGCTTAGGCAGCAGGCTGCTTTCAGTGCGATGGTCCAGAGCACAGGCTGCATGAGCACGGCGTTCACCGACCCACCCCTGCAGGGGAGCACCTGTGTCCTGCCAATTCCAAGGACTCTGGCAGTGTGCTCCCCAGCCCCACACGGCCATTCTCAGAGAGATTTTATCCAACATGTCAGCATTATTCAATGGATGTGTGTCCATGGTGGGGGAGGGGCCACTGAACTTTGCCTTGCAGATACATTTTTTTCTCTAATCAGCCACCTAACCTTGGCAAGGGAAAAGGGGGTTATTTTGGGGATGCCTTCAATATTTACCAGATTCAAGAATATATATACAAAAATATAATGAAAATAAGTCACATAAAAACTGAGCAAGATCTGTTTTAGCCATGGAAACAAAACTTTTAACTCAACATGTATACTCTGAGCCAGAAACAGCCCAAGCAGATGCACACCCACCACTGAACAGCAGTTCCTGAGGAAGGTAGGGAGTGAGGAGCAGAGACTGGAGCTTGATTCCTCATGTCTAATGTGTTTAAAGGAATACTTTGTGAATTTCTGGAGTAATAAAAGATTTTTAAATGTTGAAAATTAAAAGGAAATGCATCTAAAAATTGTCTCCTGGTAGTGAAACAACGCAGATTTTAAAATTTCCTCCTTCAAATTTTCTCTGAGAATGTTACAAGTATGGGAGAAGAATGAATATACTTTAAAATACATTTTTAAATGAACAGAAAATAATTATCCCCTAAATTCTAAAGGTGTTAAGGAACACATGGGTGAAGAGGTTGTTAACTGCATGTCATTAATAAGTAGGAATAATCTATTCGTCATTACACAGTAATGCCCTTCAAAACTATGAGTAAAAAATGTGAACTTGATAGACAAAATAGGCTTGTGTAACTGCTCTTTTAAATTTAACTCACACACAATGTAAATAGTACTATATGCAAAAAAAGAAAAAGAAAATTTATTTGGGGGATTATGGGTGATTTGAAATATTTTAAAATTAATATTTAAAACAAGAAAAGGTTTTATAGTATCTTATACAGATGCCTTGACAATTTCAAATCACTTCACTGGGTTCACATGAGCCTCCGAACTCACATTGTGCATCTTACTGGTATTCAGTGCATCTCGGCTCTTATGCCTGATACCAGCTGCCTCACGGACAGCTGGGCGCATTAAGTACTTGCATGCCAACTGAAGATAGGATTCTTGTAATTCTCAAATAAGCAAACAGCATTTATTAATTCCATTGAAGGGTCCAGTAAAAGAAAACCCAAACCCAGCCAGGGAAAGATGTGCACGTGAGACTTTGTTGAAAGGCAGCCCAACACTCACAGTTGAAAAGATGCCCCACCAGCACACAATACCCCCACTTGGGATGCACATGGTAATCTAAGTGTCCCACAGCAGTGGCATGAGCAGGGACTTGACTAGAAATTGGCACCCAAATTCTAATCTCGGTTCAGAAGGGCCACCGCTTAATCCCTGGGACTGTCTTCTCATGCATACAGCGATTTGGACGTCACCTCAGAGGCCCCTTCCCTGCTTCTGACATCCTGATCCTAAGCCTTTAAACTTGACACTGGGATGAGGAACAAATCAAAGGTTTCTTCAAAAGCGGCTGTTCCCTTTCTGGACCATTACACAAGCTCTACAGCAGCTGAGAATGAAGACAATCTTATCGAAAGCCAGCTTGCTACAGAAGTGATCCATACAAATGGTGGCTTAAAACAGACCATCTTCCAAAATGTCTGGCATTGTAGATACTTAGTATCTTCTTTGCTACTGTGTGACTAGTCTTTTAGTTAAGTTCCTCCTCTTCCTGACAAGGTGCTCAGGAGAGGCATTCAAGCTTATATAAACTACCATCAATCTTGTAGCTGTTTATTAAGGGTATTTATTAAGGAATATAGTGGTCACCCCCAAGAAAGGACAGCCACTGAAGTAGTTTGCTAGGGCTGCTGTAACAAAGAACCACAGACCCAGTGGCTTAAACAAGACATTTATTTTCTTACTCTGGAAGTCTGAAGTCCTAGATCAAGATGTAAGCAGGCTGGTTGCCTCACATGGTCTTCTGTGTCCCCTAATCTCTTCTTGTAAGGATACCAGTCACAGTGGCTTAGGGCCCACTCAACAGCCTCATAGTAACTTAATCACCTCTTTAAAGACCGTCACCAAACACAGTCATGTCCTGAGGCACTGGGGTTTAGGACTTCCACATATGAATTTTCAGAGACACAATGCAGTCTGTAACTACTATAGAGTTCATTTTTTCACATATTTTGACATGTCTTTATAGTAGGTTTAACTAGATATTAAGAAGACATTTAAAACCCAAAGGTTTTATATGTGTGCACAGAGAATCTGTGATCTGACCTGCTGTGGTAGGACCCACTGACAAACTTTCAGAGAACTCTGCTCTCACAGCAGCTTTAGGTGGAAAAAGTCAAATTCAGAAAAAGAGTCAAGTCGTCCCTCGACAATCACTTCCTGGCTGTGTGCACAACACTTTTACTTACACAAAACGATGGATCGTCTTCACTCACCCAGATCAAAACATTGTTTCCTCACACAAGTTTCTCAAGGTATAGTCCCAGGCCACCAGCATCAAGACTCCCTGGATGTTCTGTTAGGAACACAGGTCTCTGTATCCTACCCGATCCTGACACTCCAGCTCAGGGCCTGGGAACCTACCTCCCCAGCCACTCCCACCTGTGGGTGTCCACCCTGAGAGCTGTGTGCTGCCATCCACCCACTCTTCACCCCCGAGAAAAGTCATGCTTGTCCAAGTTGCAAACTGAATACACATTTATTTTTCACACAATGCAATCCAGTATGGACAGAAAAGTACTCTGCCTCACACTCATGATCAGTATCTCTTTGTTCCCATTTGGTATGTCATTGAAAATCTAGCATATCATTTGCCCAAAAATCCCATAAAAGATCCCTAGAGAAAATAACCTAATGGTTTTCCCCAAACAATAGATTGCTGCTTCATTAGTCAAATCAGCACCTGCTGATAGGAGACTGCAATGCAAGCCTGACAGTAACATTCTTTGACACGGAAGTTCAGACTCATGCTCTCAAGCATAAACCTTAACTGTGAATGGTTTCACATGAGCCTCCGAACTCACATTGTGCATCTTAATGGTATTCAGTGCATCTCGGCTCTTATGCCTGAGATACCAGCTGCCTCATGGACAGCTGGGCGCATCAAGTACTTGCGTGCCCAGGATAGGATTAGAATCCTATCTTCAGAGAGCCTAACGTATCAGCCACTGATCCTCGAAGGGGAAGCAACGGTACTGTGGAAATCAGAGTCCTGGAAATTCAGCCCCACAACTTGTATGAGCAAGGGTCCAAGACGCGGGAGAAGCAGTGATGCTGATCCGAGGGCCCTGCTCACATGCAGAAATGCACGGGCTGTGCCTCTTTGGAGTGTCCTTTCCCAAGGTCTACTCCATGGGCTTGACTTGGTCCTCTGGTGTTACAGTGGCTTTGGGAGACTTTTGGTTGTAATCTTCACAGTTCCAAGAATCAATTCTGGCTGATCCCAAGGGCAGCGTGCCCTATCCAAAATACAGTTCTCATTGTAGAAGGCCATTCTGTAGGTTGCATATATAAGCATACATATATGTTGTCTCCTGTGGGAGATAAAGCTTCCTTCCTGTTTAGCAGAAGAACACCACACTGGCAATGCTGCTTTGGCTAGCTCTTTTTCCTGTGCTCCCTCATATGCATCGCAATTGAACCTGCTATTTCTCCATTCTTCTTGTTCTGGCCAAAATAATCGAGAAATTCACCATCTGGTCCAATCAAGTACATTATGATGGTATGATCCACCTGCAAAGAAAGGGGGGGGAGGGAATGGGATGATAAAAAGATTACCAAAATAAACTGCTTAGTTTACTGAATAAATGCTACAAGATCAGAGAACTTCACATTAATGCTTAAATAATCTTTGTGGCATTTATTAATTATGGAATGGGCCTAAAGCTATTATAGCAAATTTACAGTGACAAATGATCTGAAATCTTTTGTGTTCTAAAAACCTACACTGACCACTGATTGAAACAGCAGCCAGATTTTGGCCTTCTTTGTGTTCAATCCTTAACACACTCATCCACCCAATCTCTGAGAAAAGAAGCCACTTCTAGGAAACAGCTGCTGCCAGCCTACGTGCAGCAGTCAATGCTGCTGAACAACAATGCTTGGTGGGGAGGGGCTGACATTTGTAAGTCAAATATTTCACTGACCCCTTAACATGTTACAGAGACACATCACACGGAGTCAAATACATTGGGAAGAAACCGCTTTCTTCAATATGTTCTTGGGTGTGGGTCTTTGTTTTGAGAAGCAATGGCTATCTGTCATTCACTACCACCTAAAGTCTGCTTTGATGAGAAGAAACCAGAAAACCACCTACTACACATATAATTTATAAATCCTAACACAGTACTTGGTCCTGATATTAGTAATATCAAGGGAAACATGAAAATAAGTGTTTTTCTCTGAACAATCCTATCCAAAGCAATTACCAGGAAACTCCTGAGGAGCCCCAAATGCTACACCTCCAAGGAATCATCTGAAATCCACTATCCATTTTTGAGGCAAAGTTAAAACATTCCTAGCTCTACATTAAGTTTAGATTCGTCATCAGTCTTTTCCAGTTATATGCTTCCACAAAATCCAATTTTAAATGTGCAGAGGATTTGGAATTTAGACTCCTTGGAATTCACTGCAGGCTTGATTGCTACTTGGCAAGACTGAAAGACAGAAATGTGACTGTGCATGCCAAACTGGAGACATCCCCCAAATAGACCCTAACACACATCAGATGACTGTGAGGTAATTATTTATTTATATACACACATTCGTAAAGACATAGCAAATGGAAAGAGCCACTTGCCCGCTCCCATAAGGAAAGAATGCACACTGGAGCTCAAAGAGCCGGTGAGCTCATGTCCTGGAATCACTCCTGCCGGAGCAGGACGGGGGTCTGTGTTTCTCCACATGTCGGCAATTCGGTCTCCAGTTCATGTTCAAACTTTACCCTGTAGCTTACATCTCTCTTTCTTCTTTTTCTCCACTCTCTCTCTCCTTTGAAAGCAATTTCAGTGTACTGGGCTAATTTTATCAGTGTTCTTAATATAAATTACTTTATAACACATAATAAAAATACTGTTCTGTTTATGTCTAACTTGTCAATGGTCAGGACTCACTGTCCACTGGGGTGTGGGCAGAGCAAACTGTCTTCTGTTTCTAGTATCTAGAACTCTTTCAAGTTCCCATGGTTCCTTGCAGAGAAAAGCTAGCACTTACCGACCAGCTCTTTCATGTGTCATCTTAACCCATTGTACATTTCTACAAATGATAAAACAGGCTCAAGAAGGTAGTCAAATAATTGGTCAATGCCAGACCTACACTTAAAATCTAGATCTACCCAATTTCAAAATCTACAATCTTATGATATCACCACAACTTTCAATTTTTGAAAAGGTAATATATGCTTATAAAAAAGGACAAAAGAATACACCGGGAACTTATACAATGAAAGTCCTCCTCCCCTGCCAGATGCCCAGCTGCCAGGCCCTTCTGCATTCTCCTGGAGGAATTCTCTGCACTTACCAGTGTGAGCTTACAGCTGCTGATTTCTGTTACTACCTGTCACCTATTTCTTTTTGCACACAAGTAACAATACACTGTACTTGTTTTCTCATGTAATGATATGCTGGGCATTGTACTACATCAGCACATACAGAGTAACCTTTTAAAAAACGGTTGTTTTGGTTTTCAGTCTTTTTAATAAACAACGTTGTAGGTTATACCTATAGGATAAATTCCCAAAAGTAGGATCTCTAACCTAAAAGTATTCCACTTTAAATGCTGGCAGACTCAGACCAGCTGCCCTTGAGTGGGCAGCGTCCCTAAGGGCTGTGCGTGCGCCTGCCTTGTTCCAGCTGTGCAGCTCCTCTTTCCCCAAATTTGATTTGACGACATATTTCAAATTTCTGATCTTTGCTAATCTAAAAGTAAAAATGGCATCACATTATCATATTTCTTTTATTACGAGTGAAACTGAACATCATTTTTTTAGGTTTGAAAACCATTTGTAGTATTTGTCAAAAATAATTTCTAATTAATGCTTACAAAATAACATAATCTTCTGTATATATTCATATATATACACACACACACACACGTAAAAAATGCAATGACATGCCCATTTAACTTTCAGCAGAATCCTAAATGCTTGGTGTGCCCAGCTGACATTCACTATCAGTCTGAGGATTCCACTAGTGTTTAAAAGGCAGAAGCTTGCTTACCTTTAGTTGCTGTTGTTTCAGATTAATAAAACCTCATTCCACTACCTCTCAACCTTCAAGGTATTCCCTCACTCCTTCCAAGTCCTTAAATCTCAACACACGTTTCCCACACCATTTTGTAGATGAAAATCTGTAACCTCAAGGGACAAAAATCCCTTACTAATGATACTAATGATAAACCAAGAGGCTGGAGGGTGTCTCCCCCTATTGGTTGACTCAGCAAATGTAGAACAATGAACTCCATGTTATTTCCTATCAATTGTCAAATTCTTAAGGTGACCATACATTGATGTTTCTCTCCCTCTCTCCTTCCCTTTCCCTCTAAAAGATAAATAAATAAAATCTTTAAAAAAAAAAAATTCTTAAGGTGGACAACCACCATTTCTCTAAAAGGAGTCTGGGGTAGTTTCTAGAGGGTCCAAGAAGTCTCCATAAGACTTAAATACATACATCTCAATATTTAAGGTTAAAAAATTAATATCCACATTCTGGATTATGTACACAGTACAAATCAAAATCAAACCAGTGTCCAAAATCAAACCAGTTAATACAACTCTCTTTTACAGAAGCATAAAGCAGTTTGGAAAGTTTTTCCCATGGCCTACTCCCTAGACCCTCTGCTCTGCTCTCATTTTTCTCATGCTGCTGGTGCAGCAAGAGGAACCCACGGTAGGGTTTCCTCTTTCCTTAAACTTAGGTCTTAAAAAAGATGCTTATTTTTGTCTTCTGCCCCCATGAATCCAAGTTTCCCTAAATCTATGAGGCACCAGAACTGGAAAACAAGATTAGGGTGCAGGCTTAAATCAAAAGGACCAGAATCCTAATGCAGGCCTTGGCTGCAAGGGCACACAGTGTGCTCCAGGCTCAAAGGTGGCAGAGGAACCACAGGGCGCTGTGCAGACAAAGCACCCCAGTGAGAGGTTTCTTCAACACGCTGTTCTTGGAAAATAGCCATGGTGTAGCTAGCAGACCTATGACTCAGGGTCCTTATCATCTTTCTTTCTATAAAACTAGCTTTGCAGGTGAAAAAGCTATTCTGATTCATCACTTTGTCCAGCCACTGTAATACAGAAACCAGAGCACAATAACTGAAGAAAAGAACGGAAATGATACTAAAACACAGTGTCGACTCTTAATGTGATGCGAAAGAATGACTGCACTAAGAAGACAATGGCACAGGGCTGTGCTTATGCCCTTCGTTGGTGCTTCACTGCAAAACCTCTAACCACAGCAGGAACAAAGGAGCCCGGGCATCAGCCGAGGGCCCAGGGGCAGTGCTGATGCCTGAGCTGCAGAGGGGCCACTTAATGGAATCTCTGTTCTTCATCATAAAAAACACATGTTAAATGCCTAATTATGCAAAGCATATAGTTGATATGAAAATATAACTTACAGAGAGTCTACCTATCTATGGCTTTCATCTTTTCTCTTGCTGTTCAGAATTCTTATTCATTCATCCCCAAAATATAGTTATTTACGGTGTAACACTGCTTCTCAAAAGGAGCATGGTTTTTTGACCTCTTCATAGGGGACAAAGAGACAACCAATACAATACTTATTAAAACTAAAGTAAGCTTTGCTCCAAAATGATGGCTTTTTATTTCCAACATGGTATCAAGGTACTATATCCCACGGATTTTAAGGCACCACTGATTTTATATTGCCCTATACTTTTATGTGTCACTAGAAAAAAGAACAGGCAGTTAAATTATGGGAACAGTGAATATATATTAAACAAGCATCCTTAAAAAAATTATACTTCTACTCTACTTTCAAACACCTGTAATTCCTAAGGAATTTGTAATAATCTCAGGTTCTCCTTCATCACTGAAGCCAGTCAGTCATCACTCAAAGATGTATGAACATCTGAGGTCTGAGAGCAGCCTGTGGGCCGAAACCTGGGCATTTACTTACTATGTAGTCCTCATCTTCGTCCTTGGGGCCCGGGCTGTAATATACTCGGTAAGCTCTGGCCACTTGATCAATCTGTTCTTTTGTGCCAGTCAAGCCAACCAGTTTGGGAGAAAATTCTAAATAAAAAATGAGAATGACAGTGAGAAATGAGAAGCACACAAAACAACCATGCCTATATCAAAAAGCAGCATCAGCCCTGGCTGATGTAGCTCTTTGGATTGAGCATGGGCCTGTGAAGCAAAGGGTCACCGCTTCAATTCCCTGTCAGGGCACGTGCCTGGGTTGCAGGCCAGGTCCCCAGTGGGAGGCACACGAGAAGCAACCGGACACTGATGTTTCTCTCCCACTCTTTCTCCTTTCCTTCCTCTCTCTCTAAAAATAAATAATTTTTTTAAAAGCAACATCAGTTCTACAGTGGCACTACTGCTTTCTTCCTGTGAGTCCCTGAACATTTCCTCATGATTCAAAAGAAAGTAAATTCCTGTACAACAAATGAAAGTTCCCCTTTGTTATATGTAAGTCACATTGGAGTTCAACTGGAAATTAGTAACCAAAAATATCTGAAAAATCCCCGAGTACGTGGAGATAAACACACTTCTAAGTTACATATAGGTCAAAGGAGAAATCTCAAGAGAAAGTAAAATATATTTTGAAAAATGAAAACAGAAATACAACCCACCCAGATCTGTGGGATGAAGCAAAAGCAGTACTTAACAGGGAAATTTATAGCATTGAATGCTTATAGCAGGAAAGAAAATAGATCTAAAATCAGTAAGTTTCTACCTTAGGAAACTAGAAAATGAAAGAGCAAATTAAACCCAAAGTAAGCAGAAAAAAAAATTAAGAGCAGAAATCAATGGAACTAAAAATAGCATATTAATAAGATCAATGAAACCAAAAATTGGTTCTTAGTAATCTATCGGTCTAATCTGTTGGGGACTGCCCTGCCTGGTTTCAGGAGCTGAACCCCCCTCCCCAATGGCTAAGGCTGAGTGAGCCATAAGCCACTAAGGACATAAAGCTTACCCCCCTGGCAGGAGCACCACTTCTGCTGCTTTTTCCATAACTTGCCTCCAATGTTCAATCAGTTAGCCAATGACGGGAAAGATTCCCCAAGAGGGGAATCACCTAAGATAGGTATGATCATGTGGAGGCCTCAGGGAAGGACTTGGGAAGCTATGGAGAAAGGAGGTAATGGACCCTCGTCCCCTGGCTTTGACGAAGCCTAAGTCCTCAGTCTGTCCGTGAGAAGTCTCTGAGAATTTTTTGGCTATCTGCCTCCTCTGCCTGACTTAAGCCTGAAAACAATGACAGACAGTGGTGCAGCCCGGTCCCCAGGGTGATCTGTCATGAGAAAGAATTCCTAACAATCCTGTGAAGCCTACTTTGCTTAGAATGCTTTTAATTAAATGATAAAGGCCCAAGCAGAAAGTGAGTTTATGTTCCCAAAGTTCTGTAGCCTTTAAGCTGACAGACCCTGACTTAGGAGAAGCCCTAATGGTTCTTCGTATACTATCTACTGTTTACTGCCTGACAATGACTAATAAGTTGTACCCGAACTCCTGTGCAAAAAACCCAATAAAAGGCAAGGGTCAGCGCACTCTCTCTCTCCTTGAGCGAGAGAGTCACTCCAAGCCACTCTCCCCTTGAGAGGGTGGCCAAGCCATTCAGAGGCTCTCCCTCCTTGAGGGAGTAGCCATGCTGTCCCTTTTCCTCCACAGGACTTGGTAGCCTGTGTGAATTTGTCTCCTGTCTCATCCATGACGCCGTGGGCACTTTTGGTCAGTGCACTTGTCACTAATCCTTTCATGATTATCTAGTAAAGAGGGAATGTATTATAATTACTTAAATTACTTTTTAAATTAATTTAGCTTTTTTCAAATACTTAGATGTAGTTCTAAGATATGCTGAAGTTTAAAGATATAATCATGAATTAAGCACTATAGTTTTTACTATGTAAGGAAAGTTTGCTGCATAACTAATTCATACCAAGCCAAAAAATCTGTATCTCATTTTCTAGCAAACAATCTCATAGCATTTGTGGTTAAGTTTTTGGAATTTATATAAGTTAGCTGGTGAAACTCACAACACCTGGACACACCAGCCTACTCACATGACAGTCTGACGTTTAACAGCAGTACCATCCACTAAAGGTAGAGGAAGCCTCTATCACTCCTTATTCCAAACTGAAAAACTGTTCAGATACTAAAAAAGCAAGAGAGTTTGTCTTTCTCTTCCACTCTATAAGTAAATGAAGAGAAATTAGCCCTAAATTAGCCCTGACTGGTGTGGGTCAGTGAGTTGGGCATCCTCCCACAAACCAAAAGGTTGCTGGTTCTATTCCAGGTCTGGGCACATGCCTGGGTTGCAGGCCAGGTCCCCAATTGGGGGCGCTTGAGAGGTAACCACACATTAATGTTTCTATCCCTCTCTTTCTCCCTCCCTCCCCCTCTAAAAATAAATACATAACATCTTTATTTTAAAAAAGATACTTAACATTAGGGAAATGCATATTAAAACCACAATGAGGTACCTACCACTAAATATCTACTGAAGTGGCTAAACTTAAAAAGACTACCGACCATATCCAGTGTGGCAAGGATGTGTAGGAACTGGAACTTTTGTGTACTGATAGTAGGAATACAAAAAATGCTGTGGAGAAAATGTCAGTTTCTTAAAAAGTTAAACATAGACTTATCACATGATCCAGCCACTCCACTCCTAGATATTTCACTCAAGAGAAATAAAAGCATGTGTTCATACAAAGACTTGCATCTGAATGCTCTTAGCAGCTTTATTTGTAATAGTCAAAAACTGAATACTACTCAAAAATAAAAATAAATGAACTATTCCACAACATGGAAAAATCTCAAAATAATTATACTGAAAGAAGCCATTAAAAAAGTACATATTCTATAATTCTGTTACATAAACTTCTAGAAAATGCAAATTAATTGTATTGACAAAGAGCAGACCAGTGGAGGTGATGGGTGAAGTGGAGGGGCAGGAGGGAAGGGTTAGCAAGGCACCAAGAAACTGCTGGAGGTGATGGGGGTTCACTTTTTTATTGTGGTGATTGCTTCCCAATGCATACATATGTCAAAATGTAACAAATTGTACACTTTAAATAAGTACACTTTGTTAATTACATTTCAATAATTTTTTTAAAATAGTAAAACATATAGCCAGCCTTTTAAAGGTACATTTTAAAAATAATTGCAAAGCTTTGGAGAATATGTGCATTAGAATGCGTCATATAATAAAAATAAATATAAAACTATTCACTAGTCCTTCTGTCCAATATTTTAAATCGATTTCACCATAATTAAAATTTAAATTCTTGATTTTTAAGCACCCAGCTGAAAAAAAAACTTGAATCCAGAGAAATTAAGCAACTCACTGAAGCTCGTGAGACCTAAGTTTTCATCTTTAACTCTACCATAATTTACAGTCTTTAAAAGTACCTCCTAATAGGTTTTAACCTACATGGTGAGATGTTTGAATTGAAATTCTTCCATTAACAGGAATGTGTTTCTGTCATAACGAATGTTTGGGTTTATACAATAAAACATGTGCTGAGCTCAAAATGTATGTACACAGAATTCATTTTTAATCTCCCAATGCACACACTCCCAGAATGCATGCACACTCATTTTACAAGGAGAGAATGAGGCATGGAGCCAGAATTGGAAATGATGTGTCCTTGCTCTCAGTTCAAGGTTCTATTAAATTAACTTTGTTGACCTATGAACTTTGTTGGCCAAGTTTCGTTCTTCCACTGTAACAAAATAAAAAGAGCCCTCCCTGCACCAGGAATTAAGAAACCTGTTTTTTATTTATTTACTTATCAGCCACAATCATACTCTGAGCTTCATCATTTTATCTGTTGTGAAACTTGTAACAACATTTGCCCCCGCCATTTCACAGAGCATTAGATGGTTTGCATGAGTTGACCTTTCACAAACTGTAGAGGTAAACAAATATAAGGTATTATTAATGAAACAAACCTTTCACATAATTTGCAATGGCTTCCTTTGTGTCCCTCTCTGGATCAATAGTGATGAAAAGTGGAGTTAAATTTGGCAGAGTTGGAATGTTATCTGAAAGAAAGTTCTTGTCAGTCACTATTCACACTCTAAGGGAAAAGACAAAGAAAACCAACAAATACAGTATAGTAACTGGTACAGCAAGGCACTAAGGAAACACAAGGGCATAGCTAACACTGGCGTTACATGACAACAGGGAAGGGGACGGGATGGCCCTCAGGAAGAACAGGTCCATGTGTTACCTGTGGTGGAGTCAGGTAAATAACCCAGCAAACACCCGCACCAGTGTATAGTACATGCCAATACTTGGATCACACCATATGGGTGTCTCGTTTCCTAACCCGATACAGTATTTGTAGGTCGTCTCCCCAACCATACCTCAAGGGCAGGGTAAACTATTTATAAGAACTGAATATCCTGGAACAATTCATTTTAAGAAGGATGTGCCCTATCTTCTTATTGGCCCTAATAAGTGCCCCTGACTACACTTCGGATACCATCCCACAGATTTCACTGTCTAACCCAGTTACCTGGGAGAGGGCAATGGTGGTGTCAGTGATGAAAGGCCACAAGAAAGGGAAGGGACACAAAGCAGAGGTAAGGGAGACCCAGACTATACTGACATTTTTAAGCAACCTAATATTACATGTAGTATCAGAACAAGTTTCTTTTGGTGGAGAACTTATAGGTCATGGGAACCTATGCAATAAACAAACCTCATGCTGAGATCTTATGTTCTCACAAACCAAATAATTACGACCCTCCACCTAACAGTAACTCAAGAATGTGGAAAGCATAACATGAAGTTATCATATACATAAGTGATGGCTTTCTTACCTATTTCATCCACGACTTGAATCATTTTTTCTAGTTCTTCTGGACAAATATCAGGGCAGTGAGTGAAACCAAAGTAAATCAGCACCCACTGACCCAGGTAGTCCTTATCAGTCTTTGGCTCTCCAGTGTGAGTTGTGAGGGAAAATGGTCCCCCAAGCAGAGGCTTTCCAATGCTTCGCTGCCGTTCCTTCTCTAGCTCTTAAACAGACACAAATACACATGCCAAAATAAAAGGAAAGTCAATCTAACCACAGGTACTCAAATGCCTGATATATGATTATACTATGCTAATGACTGTGTAAAATGTAGAAGAAATAGTCTGTTTTCAAGAAGCTTAAAAATTCTTTTAAGGAAAATAAGCATAAAACAATCAAATCAAATCAAATGCTGTATTATATAGTAAACATCGTAAAAAAAGAAAGTGGTAAAAATATTTCTTCTTAAACAATGCATTATTCTTCTGGAACAATGCAGTCCTAAGCCAACGGGTGTGCCATGATGGGGGTGGACCCGGGGCAGAGCCATGGAGGATGCCTGAGCCCAGGTGGCAAGATGGGGGGCTGGCACTGACATCTGAGCCTGAGTGTGCTGAGGGCAGCTGCATGGGGAGGGGACAGTGGCTATGGGATCTTAGTTACATTAGAGATAAGGGAGTTACAAATTGACAGGGAGGTAGACCAATGGAAAGAAAGAAAACTAGAATGAACCATGTAGTACTGGGAAAAAAACTGGTGGTATGGTGTGAACTTATGGGTGTGTGTGTATGTGTGTGTGTGTGTGTGTGTGTATCCTTCATAGCTTTGTCTGTTCTGAGGGTCTGGGAGCAGACATACTCCAATAACAATGAACTAATACCCTAACTTCTAAATATCATCCTCCATTAAAAATGAAATGGGGCTTTTTAGAAAAATGGCTGACACCAGGTTTTAAAAGTCAAGTAAAGACTGAAAACCTGTTACAGGCTGAAGAAGACTAAGACTAACTAGGTATGTACGAGGTGTGATTCTGAATTGGAAAACTTTTGCTATAAAGGCATCAAGCTGTAAAACTCCGAATGAGGTCTGAACACTGAACAGTAGTAACATATCAATGTTACTTTCTTTATTTTGATGGCTGTATTGCGATTACGTTGGAGAAATATACAATAAACCAGAGGTGTCAAACTCATTTTCACCAGGGGCCACCTCAGGCACGTGGTTGCCTACAAAGGGCCGAATGTAATTTCAACTCCTTAACAGTTAAGGAGTAGTTACATTTATACAGTCCTAAAATTATTTCAGCCCTTTGAAGGCGACCAAAAGCTGAAGTTGCCCTAGGTAAAAATGAGTTTGACACCCCTGCAATAAACTATTTAGAAATGATGAGGCATCATGTCAGCAAATATTGTCAAATGATTTAAGAACACTAAGTTAATACTAATATTGTATGATAACACATTTTTAATAAAGCATATTAATTGTAGGTGAAATTCCAAACTAAAGTCAAAAGAAGCTTGCATTTTCTATAAGTGTGTCTATCACCGCTTTCCTAGTTGTTCAGTTTTGTTTCATTGTGAAACTAAAGGAACTTAACTGATTATTAAAATATGAAAGTCCTATCAAAATACTTTTAGTTATTGGACCAATAAAAAAGGACCAATACGGATGTTATATTGCTAAGGTACTAAAGCCTATGAATTCTCATTCCCAGATTTAAACATTATCCTTTGTATAAAGGCATCAGAAGAGAATCTAAAGTAAAGAAATCAAAACAGATTTAAGTGATAAAGATTTACTAAAAACTTCTAAACCACATCTTAAAAGTCCTAGAATATTCACTAAAATATAAACTTCCTGTAAACAGTTTCTGAATACTGCCAAGCGTCTATCCAAAGCACTTTCAGCATTCTTGCACCCAGTTCCTCTCTCCCCATCTTCCACAGTCAGCGTTGGCCTTTTCCCCTCTGCTGATACTCAGTGGTCCACAGTGAAGGTTGGGCCTTCTTTTGGCCCTCAGACCCCCTGAACTTCTGCCTGACCTGACAGAACCTCATCTAGTAAAATATATTACTTCTGTATCTATTTCCCTATCTCAATGGCTGGACTGCATCTTGGTCATCTTTGTACCTTTTGGACTTCATACTACCCACTCTTGTATCTGCCCACAAATAAGTCATTTCATACTATTAGACAGCGCTATCCTGGACTAGATCATGGAACAGATAAAAGGCAACAGGAAAAACAGGTGAAATCTGAATAAAGTGTGTGGTTGTAGTAAGTACTGCTATACCAATTTTAATTTCTTAGCTTTCACGGTTACATACATGTTAACATTAGGGGAAGCTAGGTGGAGACTCTCTACACCATATTTACAACTCTTCTGCAAGTCTAAAATTATTTCAAGACAAAAAGTCTAAAAATGACAAAAAGATGCTGGTCCATCACTAGGAAGGATTTTATTCAGAGCTGACCAAATGATTATCTACTTACTCTCCATCTTCTCTTTCTTGAAGTACTTCATCCCTGCCAGTAAAGCTCCTCCAATAGCAAATGTGACTGCTAAAGACTTCCAGGAAACGGGCTACTGGGTCAGAAATTTCAAAAATAAAAGTAATATGATGCAGACATTTACTCATACTAAATTTATTGTTGTTTCAAACACATATACACAGAGGCCTTGATTTTGTTAAGTGTGCAGAATGTTTCATGTTATTCAGCGTTAGAAAATACTGGAAGGGTCTGTGGATGCAGTTGCACCTGGGCTCTAACATAATTACAAAGGCACATTTCCAAGGGAAAGTTCGCTAAGTCAATTTCTTTTCAAGTGAAAAAAAGCAACTCAAAGCTCAAGTACCCTGACTGTTACTACGTGTGACTCTGATCCCAATTGCTGCTTTAAAAACCAGTTAGTTACCTACATGGGTTGGTATTGTAAATATAAATAAACCAAATAAAATTTGGGAAGTTAGGCTCATTCTGGCTTCCAAAGCAACAAAGGAAACGTAGATGAGATCTAAAAGTGGAGCTTCTTGCAAATTGCATAAAGTTTTTTCTTTGTAGTCTTTTCAATCCCAAGGTAAGATGTCGGACACCTAGGCCTAACTCATTAACCCTTTCCCAGCTCCAAAAATCATTTATCTTACTTATCAACTAAAAGGTAGTGGTTTTTCGGTTCTTTTCGGGTCAGGATTAGAAGCTGAGAGAAACCCAAAAAAGGGCATACCCGGCATGAAATTACGACCCATATTTTGCATAATTTCAACGTATACACAGAATTCCTGAAGAAAACTCAAGTGTTGGAAATTATAAAACTACTCCCAATCCTCAATAATGGTAAATGTCAGGTTGAGACCTCTAAGAAAACCTGACACTTTGATCCACGCCGAATCGCGCACAACTTTAGGTCTGACCAAGTGATTTCTGAAGTTACGACCAAGTGGGATGGGAAGGCCACAGGGATGTCTGACAGCCGCGACGAGGAAAGGAAGTGGTACAGGTGTGCACTCACCCCAGGCTTCGAGGGGCGCGTGGGGTCTCTGCGGCCCTTCCCTTCGGGTCCAGACGTCCCCGGCGGTGGCGGCACGTCCGTGCTCAGCAGCCGGCATCCCGGGATGCTGCCTGAGAGCCCCAAGGCCCGCCACCCGTTCTCTCGCCGCGCGCACACCCGCCTCACTAAGACCCCCCCGGTCCCATCTGCTGGGACCCAAATCCCGAAACTGCGAGGCAAAAGAAGCCAAAGTTGACCACCGGGAATCCGCAAGATCCGGCCGGACACTAGCAAGAGGCCCGCCATTAGCTTAGGAGACCGCACCCCCTTTGACCTGTCCCTAGACTTCCGGTGCTGTTTTCACTTCCTCCGGAAGTCAGAAGAGCCTCTCTCTCCGCTTGGCTCGTTGGTGATGCTGTTGCCAAGCTGGTAGTCTGGTAGTTCTTCTCCTAGGCGCTGGCGCGCGGTAAGTGGTTTCTCGCGACTGAGGCGGGTCGGCCCGAGCTGGGCAGCAGGACCCAGAGGAAGGGGACCCTAAGGGTCCGGGTTTCGCCTTGGGGCCTAGGCCGGGCGTCCTGAGCGTTGGGGTCTTCTCGCTCCTCTGGGCACCCCCAGCCTCGGAAAAAACGAAACGCTGTCCGCAGACCCACTAGACCTGGGAGTCCCCACCCCCATCCTTGGCGCCCTCCTTCTTCCTTGTCTGGAGTCCGGCCATTTGGAACGGCAGGGCTGGTGACTGCTTTGCACCTCCAGGCCGGCCCGTTGCACTTAAAATAATTTGAAATAATTTGACTTTTTTGTTGTGTTGCTAAAAGGGATAATTTGAGTGATTGGCGTAGCAAGGGCGAGTCAAATATGACTGATGTGCCTAGCGCTTTCAGTTACTTCCAGGTTATAAGGAAACCTAACTATAAATAACAGCACAGTACGCAGTAGTGTGTGTCCTGTGTCGTATTCCATCTCTTAACTTCACCTCCCTGGGTCCCAGTTTTTTAAAATTTCTCGTTAACTCCCCTGTCCTCTTCAGTTTTGTGGTTTAAAGTTTGTTGATGAGTTTTTCATCTTTGTTGTTTGGGGGGTTACAGCCCCATATTAATAGGCTAAGAGCTTATGAAGTTTATTTTTCATTCCTTCTGAAAGTTTAACTTGCATTTATTTGTCTGCCTTTGTTTTTGCCTCATCTGTGATCTTAACCCCTCCCTCCTTTTGTGATGGATTTGCAAAATACAGGAAAAGAAAAAAATCCTTTCTAATTCTCTTCCTTAACTTCAGATCCCACTGAAACAAGAAAAGTCGGTGTTCATGCTGCCAGTCACAACCAAAACCAATGAGCAGAGACAAGGTTTGAATCTTTATGGGTGCTTTATTCAGATGCCAGTGATCTGAGAAGACGGCTGGTTATATATCCTCAAAAACCATCTTAACATTTCATCTCAAGCCAACCTTTTTATAAGGAAAAGAAGAGTAGGTAAGGGGATTGGAAAAAAAAGGTTAATGGGATTAGAATTGCTGAGATTTTCCCAGTACTTATTTATGTTGATCAGCAATTCTTTTTTTTTAACATGTCCATCAATTACCTTCCTTTTTTAATTTATTTATTTTTATTGTTTATGCCCTAACGATTGTTACCACTCTTTCTCCCTTTCCTCACCGCCACCAAGCCCCCCCCCTCTCCTTTGAAACCCCAAGCCGATCCCTGTATTATTGTCCCTGTCTGTGGGTTGTGTATAAATGTTCTTTGGTTAATTGCTTCACATCTTTCATATTGTTCCCACACCACCTTTGTAGCAGCTGTCAGTCTGTTTTATGAATCTAAGCTCTTATTACTATTTTGTTTGCTGGTTTATTGTGTTTATTAGATTCCACATATAAGTGAGATCATGTGGTATTTTTCTTTCACTGATTGGTTTAATTCACTTAGCATGATTTTTCTCCAGGTCCATCCATACTGTTGGAAAACGTAAGGGTTTTTTTATTTTTCACTGCTGTATAGCATTCCACTGTGCAAATGTACCACAGCTTTTTTATTCACTCATCTCCTGATAGGCTGTTTTTAAATCTTGGCTTTTGTAAATAGCACTGCTGTAAAAATATATGTAAGCATATATTTTTTCATATTGTTATTTTGGGATCTTTGAGATATATTTCCAGAAGTGGAATTGCTGGTTAAAAGGGAGTTACATTTTTAATTTTTTGAGGTACCTCCATATTGTTTTCCACAGTGGCTACATCACTCTGCATTCCCACAAACAGTGCGCTGGGTTTCCCACAACCTCACTAATACTTGTTTGTTAATTTATTGTTGGTAGCCAGTCTGACAGTTGTGAGGTGATAGCTCATTGAGGTTTTAATTTGCATTTCTCGGATGAATGTTGACATTGAGCATTTTTTCATATGTCTATAGGCACCCTGTATGTTCTCTTTGGAGAAGTGTCTGTTCAGGTCTTTTGCCCATTTCTTAATTGGGCTGTTCGTTTTCTGGCATTGAGTTGTATTAGTTCTTTTTATATTTTGGAGATTAAACCCTTGTCAGAGCATCACTGGCAAAAGTGTTCTTGCATACAGTGGGTTCCTTATTTATCTTGCTCATGGTTTCTTCAGCTATACAGAAGCCTTTTAATTTGATGTAGTCCCATTTATTTATTTTCTGTTTTGTTTCCAGTGCTTTGTGAGATATATCAGCAAAAATATTTCTACATTGAATATTTGAGATTACTCCCTGTGTTTTATTCTAGGCTTTTTATGATTTCATTACTTACATTTAAGTCTTTCATCCATTTTGAGTTTATTTTTTGTGTATGGTATAAGTTGGTGGTCTAGATTCATTTTTTTTATGTGGATCAGTCCAGTTTTCCCAACACCATTTATTGAAGAGACTGTCTTTGCTCCATTGTATGCTCTTGCAACCTTTGTCAGATATCAGTTGCTCATACATGCATGGGTTTATTCCTGGGCTTTCTGTTCTGTTCTGCTAATTTGTATGTCTGTTCTTGTGCCAGTACTGTTTTTATTATGATGGCCTTATAGTATGTAGTTTGATATCAAGATTTGTGATACCTTCAGCTTTGTTAGTCTTTCATAAGATCGCTGAGACTACTGAGGTTCTTTTTGGGTTCCATATAAATTTTTGGAGTATTTGTTCTATGTCTGTGAAGTATGCCATTGATATTTTAATAGGAATAGCATTGAATGTATAGATTGCTTTGGGTAGAATAGCCATTTTAATGATGTTAATTCTTGTAGGCCATGAATATGGTAGATGCTTCCACTTACTTTGTAGATGCTTCCACTTATTTTGTATCTTCCTCGATTTCTTTCTTCAATGGCCTATTGTTTTGAGAGTACAGGTCTCTTACCTTCTTAGTTAGATTTATTCTTAAGTACTTCATTTTTTTGTTGTAATAGTGAATGGAATTGTTGTCTTAGTTTCTCTTTCAGATATTTTGTTATTGGTGTGTAAAAATACCATCAATTTCTGGGTATTAATTTTACATTCTGCTACTTTGTCAAATTCACTTATTAGGTCTAGTCGTTTTTTGGTGGAGTCTTTGGGGTTTTCTATGTACAATATCATGTCATCTGCAAATAATGACAGCTTTACTTCTTCCTTTCCAATTTGGATGCCTTTTATTTCTTCTTGTCTGATTGCTGTGGCTAGGACTTCTAGAACTATGTTGAATAAGAGTGGTGAAAGCAGACATCCCTGTCTTGTTCCTCATGTTAACAGAACCATTTTAGTTTTTGCCCATTGAGAATGATGTTAGCTGTAGTTCTTTTATGTATAGTCTTTATTATGTTGAGGTATGATCTCTTTATTCTCACTTTGCTAAGAGTTTTTATCATGAATGGGTACTGGATTTCATTGAATGCTTTTTCTGCATCTGTTGATACAATCGTGGTTTTTGTCTTTCATTTTGTTTATGTGATGAATCCTATTTATTGATTTGTGAATATTGTGCCAACCTTGCATCCCTGGGATAAATCTCACTTAATTATGATATATGATCTTTTTGATAGATTGCTGGATCCAGTTTGCTAATATTTTGGTGAGGATTTTAGCATCCATACTCATCAAGGATATTGGCCTATAACTTACTTTCTTTGTTGTATTTTGGAATTAGGATACTACTGACCTCATAGAGAGAGCTTGAAAGTCTTTCCCCTCTTGAATTGTTTGGAATCATTTGAGAAGGATTGGTGATAGTTCTTTGATTGGCGGAATTCACCTGTGAAACCTGGTCCAGGGCTTTTGTGTCCTGGGAGTTTTTTGACTACTCCTTCAATTTCATTCATTGTTATCAGTCTAATCAGGTTTTCTGCTTCTTCCTGATTCAGTTTTGGGAGATTATATGTCTCTAGAATTTGTGCATTTCACCCAGTCAAATCAGGTTGACTGATTTCTTGACATATAGTTATTCTTAGTAATTTCTTATAATATGTTGTAGTTTTGTGATATCACTTGTTTTTTCACCTCTTTAATTTTATTTTATTTATTCAGGTTCTTTGTCCTGTTTGTTTATTTGGGGAGGATGAGTCTGGTTAAAGGTTTGTCAGTCTTGTTTATCTTTTTGAAGAACTAGCTCCTGGTTTCATTGATCTTCTTTTTTTTTTTTTAAAGATTTTATTTATTTATTTTTAGAGAGGGGAAGGGAGGGAGAAAGACAAGGAGAGAAACATTAATGTGTGGTTGCCTCTCCTACGCCCCTCACTGGGGAACCTGGCCCACAGCACAGGCATGTGCCCTGACTGGGAATCAAACCAGCGACCCTTTGGTTGGCAGGCTGCCTCTCATTCCACTGAGCCACACCAGCCAGGGCTCATTAATCTTCTATATTATTTTTTTAGTCGCTATGACATCGATTTCCACTCTAATCTTGATTGTTTCTTTTGTTCTACTTGCTCTGGGCTTTGTTTGTTGTTGATTTTCTAGTTCTCTTAGGTGTAAGTTTAGATTGTTTATTTGAGATTTTTTTTTGCTTCTTAAATTAGGCTTGAAGTACTATGAACTTCCTTCTTAGGACTGCTTTTACTGTGTCCCGTAGATTTTGGGTTGTTGTGTGTTCATTTTTATTTGTTTCCAGGAATTTTTTGATCTCCTTTTTGATCTTATTGGTTACCCATTCATTATTTAATAACGTGCTATTTACCTCCAAGTATTTGAATGTCTTTGAGTTTTTTTATTGATGTTGATTTCTAGTTTCATGCCATTGTGATCTAAGAAAATGCTTGATATAATTTCAGTTTTCTTGAATTTTTTAAGGCTTATTTGTGGTTTAACATGTAGTCTATTTTTGAGAATGATCCATGTGCACTTGAGAGGAATGTATGTACTTCTTCTTTGGGGTGAAATGTTCTTTAAATTAAGTCCATTTGATTTAGTGTGTCGTTTAATGCTGCTATATCCTTGTAATAGTTTGTCTGGAAGATCTGTCCGTTGTTGTCAGTGGGATGTTAAAACCCCCCATTATGTCAGTATTGTTGTTGATATCTTCCTTAAAATCCACCAAGATTTAAAAAATATATTTAGGTGCTCCTGTATTGAGTGCATGTATGTTTGTTTACAAGGGTTATGTACTCCTGTTGGATTGAACCCTTAAGAATTATGAAGTGACCTTCTTTATCTTTTTTATGGCCTTCATTTTGAAGTCTGTTTTGTCAGATACAAGCATCACTACACCCACTTTTTTTTTAAATTTCCATTTGTGTAGAATATTTTCCTTCATCCCTTTACTCTCAGCCTGTGGAAATCTTTTGCTCCGAGGTGAGTCTTTTGTAGACAGCATATGTATGAGTTGTGTTTTCTTATCCATTCGGCTACTCTCTGTCTTTTGATTAGAGCGTTAATTTAGTTACATTTAAGGTTATAGATAAGTGCTTATTTATTGCCATTTTTTTATATCACACCTATGTTTTCCCCTCTATTTTTCTTCTTCTTCTTATAGAAGGTCCTTTAACGTTGCTTACAGTGCTGGTTTGTGGTAATGTACTCTTTTAACCTCACTCTGTGGGAAGCTCTTTATTCGGCCTTCAGTTTTAAATGATGGCCTTTCTGGGTAGAGCAGTCTAGACTACATGTTCTTAGCTTTCATTACTCTGAATATTTCCTCCCAGTTTCTTCTGGCCTGAAGTGTTTCTGTTGAGAAATCAGCTGAGATTCTAATGGGGGTCCCCTTGTAAGTAACTCTCTCAGCCTGCCTTTAGAATTCTTTCTTTGCCTTCAAGCTTTGCCATTTTAATTTTGATGAGTCTTGGTGTAGGTCTCTTTGAGTTCAACTTTACTGGGACTCTGTCCTACCTGGACTTGTGTGCTCTTTTCCTTCACCAGGTTGGAGGAAAAGAGCCACTGTTTTCTGCCACTATTTCTCCAGACAGGTTCTCTGTTCCTCTCATACACTCATCTCTTTCTGGCACTCCTGTGTTGTGGCTGTTGTTGCACTTGATGTCATCCTGAGGGTATGTTAGGCTTTCCTCATTTCTCTTAAATCGCTTTTCTTTTTAATTTTCATTTTCTCTCTGAGTGGATACTGTTATTTTGTCCTCTAATTCGCTGATTGGATCCTCTGCTTCATCTAACCTACTATTGATTCCTTCAGGCAAATTCTTCATTTCAGATATTGTAATCTTCATTTATGACTGGTTCTTACTTATGGTTTCTATATCCTTAATGCTTATTATCTCATTAAGTTCTCACTAAGGTCATCTATTCTTCCCCTGAGGTCTTTGAGCATCATTATAACCATTTTAAACTCTGCATCTAGGTATTTGTGTTGCTTCCATTTTATCTATATCTTTTAATTCTTTTTGTGGGAATTTCTGTTGTTTTGCTTGGGACATTTTTCAGTGTCACCTCATTTGATCTCTGTGTTGGGTACGTGTGCTATGTCTCCTGAACCTACTTTACTTCTGTTATGATATAGGTGTTTTGCTGGGGTTAGTTGCCCAATCCTTAGGAACACCTGAATTCTGTGGTCCAGGAGTGTTTCTTGTGGGTTCTGTGACACCCTTGTAGTTGCGTTTTAAATACTGGTGGCTCTTTTGTAGGTAGAGTTATCCCTTCAGTTTGGGAGCCTTCAAGAGAAACCCTAGACTTCCATATGTGGAGTGCTGTGCAGTTGTTTCCCCTTGATGAGGTGGTGTTCCCAGCAGGCTCTGACGCCTGTAGGAATCCCCCTTTGGATGTACTGATCCTGTGACTAGTTGGTTCAGGTTTTGGTGTAGGCTGAAGTCCACCACTGGTTTTATTGGTTCTGGGTCCGGTTGGGTGGAGTTCAGAAACAGGTCAGTTTCAGATGATGTGTGAATCTGGCCCTAGGCTATCTCTCTGTAGCCACTGCTGCTTGGGTCTGTGTGTCCTGGACCTGCTTGTGCATGCAAGGGGGCAGTCTGTATAAAGAGTCAGCTCTTTTCCTGCTTGGAGCTGGTGGCAGCTCTAGAAAGGACCCAAGGCTTTCTGAGGTCTGCCTCCTCTTTAAACCACTCTGCCCTACCCTGAGGTTGCCTGGTTTTTTTTCCACAGCCTTCTGATGAGGGTTTGTAAGCTGATACCAGGACTAGCAAGTTTCCACTTTGTTGGTCCTACAGTCTGTAAGGCACTCAGTGAGGGGAGAGTAGCACCTACTTACAGCCAATCCCTTCAGTCTTTGCCAGAGAGCCAGGCACTTGCTTCCTCAGGGGGGGCTCATTGCTGATTCAGGATGAGTACATTCAACTTTCCCCTTTGCAAGAGTGAGCTCAGCAGCTCTGGACTTCAGGGGATAGATCAAAAGAGCCTCCCATTGGGGTTTGGGCAAGAACAGACAGCAGGTGGGGGCTAAACGCACTCATTCCAAGACCTCAGTTGGAGGCAAAGCTCTCTGTCCTGTTCCCAGGTGATATCCTAAGTCTCACACTTTAAAAGTCCCCTTGTGCGGAGTTTTTCTTTCTTCTTCCTTTGGAAATATACCCAGCAGGGGAATCTTGGATCAGGCAGGGCTGATTGCATAGTTTCCCTTTTAAAAGTGGTGCCTGCATCCCTGCAGGAGGAGGACAGACCCTCCCTTCCCTTCCCAGGGGATTGCAGCCTGTGAGTAGGTTTGCCTTGCTGCAAAGTATCCCAGGCACTCAACTCTACCCATCTAACTCCTAGCCTCTACAGTCTTTGCAGGAGACACAGTCCAGAACTCTTTGCTCCATGTAACCCCTGGTTTGCTTGCAAGCTGAGCTGGGCAGAGCTCAGAAAACCCTTCATTGCACAAATTTCTATCTCAATGCTCAGCTGGTCTCAGTGAGAAAGGACCTGAAGATCCAGCGAGGCTTTAGCATGTGTGAGAAAAGTTCAAAATGGGCCAAAAAACCACTTTCCCACTTTGCTAGGTTCCTCTCTGCAGCTATAGCAGCAGGGGTAGCTCACAATGTGGCGGGGTGGGGGCAGGGGTGGTCTGGGCACTGCCAACACACTTAAGAGTAGGAAAACTGGTTCTCTTTCTCATACCACTCAGCTAGTTCTCTGTTTTGGTATCCCCTGAGTCTCCACTGCAGTCAGAGATCCCCTTTATGCCACTGCCCTCTGCCACCTTCAGAAGCCCTTGTGTTTCATCATGGTTTCTCTCTTAGTCTGAGCTTGTATAGTGAACTCTTCTGTGCCTGGTGCCCCAACCACAGATGCACTTCATACTGAATTTGCAATCTCTGTTTTTCACAGGTGTGGTGGAACCTCACTGTATCCTGCTGCCAGAGACCCCACAACTTCCCCTTCCCTCTCTATTGCTGTGAGTATTTTTACAGCCCCACAGTTCAAAGGGGAGGGAGCTCCGTGGCTGTGATTTCCATGTGGCTTCTTTTCTGGCAGAGCAGCTACACAGGAGGTCCTTGTCCAGCCACATTTCAAATCCTTTTAAAAAGTCTGTGTGTAGTGCCCTCACGGCAGTACTAAGTTACTCTCTGGCTCTTTGTGCACCATCCCTCCCTACTGCCCAAGGAGCAAAATGTCTCTCAAAGTCATAGCTGGCTATAGCCTGTAGGTGCCTCTGACAGACCCGGGAACAGCAACCTGGTCCCTTTTGCAGTCTGAGTCTCTGTCCTGAGCTCTCCAGTTCGGCGCTTCAACAGTGGAAGCTCTGCTCATTGTGAGTGCAGCTGGGGGTTCTCAGATTCAGTGGATCTCCCAAAGTATCCCCAATTAGGGTTGGAAATCCCTTTGTGGGATTAAGTCCCCTTGCTTTGATGGGGGAGGGAGCTCCAAAGCTACAATTTCTATATGATCTCTCAGCTGCTAGAGGAGCCACACACATGGAATTTCCTCTACCACTTATAAAATCCCCTTACCAAAAGGTCCAAAGCATCTTCTGTACTTCTCGGCTTCAAAACTTTGTGTCAGCCCTGGCTGGTGTGACTCAGTGGATTGAGTGCTGGCCTGTGAATCAAAGGGTCACTGGTTAGATTCCCAGTCTAGGGCACATGCCCAGATTGCAGGCCAGGTCCCCAGTAGGGGGTGCAGGGGAGGCAAGCACACATTGATGTTTTTCTCTTTCTCCCTCCCTTCCCTTCTCTAAAATAAATAAATAAAATTTTAAAAGAAAAAAACCTTCATGTCAGCTAAGATTCTGTTGATTATTCAGGTTGCTTGTTGGAAGTTCTGTTGAAAATCTGGGTTCAGGCCAGGAGCAAGTAGATTCAGCTTCCACCTGCTCAGTGGCCATCTTCAGTATGGCCACTCTTTATCTGTGTTTCCTCCCTGGAACACAGTGGCTCAGATACCAACTATGGCTTGCAGAACCCCTGGGGCACAAAGGTTGAATTGCTGGTCAACTTCCTGGAGTCACTTAACGTTGTCCATTCCAGTTCCTAGAACAACAGCTTTCCATGTGCATTAATCACTTAAGCCTATCAACTATAGCTAAGGCTAAAATCTTTTAACTCTTGTGTTTCCCTATCATTTCCCTCGTTAGTTTTTGATCATTTTATTTCTATAAGATTCGTTTAATTAAAGAAATACAAAGTAAAACAACATAAAACCAGGTAAGATCATTTAAAAATCATTTTGTTGCTGAATAAACAGTCCTTCCACATATTAGAAAGCACATATTCTGTAGGCAGTTTGGCATAAGATGCACTAGTGGTGGTGTTGCAGTTCGTCTAAAATAGTTTTCAGTACAGTTGACAGAAGTTGTACATTTTCCAGTTGGGGCTACTTTAGTGTTTTTAAAGAAAACATTTCTGTGTCCTTTAGAGTTACCGTAAGTTCCCAGTTATCTTTGTAGGGAGCACAGATGTCTACAAGACATGAAATGAGTTTGTTTGGCATAGGTTCCAGTCTACTTTTCTTCTAGTTGGCCTTCTGGGAATCCTGTCTTCCAAGTCTTGAGTACCACCTTATCTCCAGGCTCAAAGGATCACAGTGAACCTATGGGGGAGAGATCTCTGATATAGCTAAGGTCATGAATCACAGCTAAGGTCTGACTTAAATGTTTTACATAGTTCTTTGCCTTCACTTCTTGGTCTATATACACATCTTTCATCCCAATCATAGCCTGAAATGGTTGCCTATGTTCAGTTTCGTAAGGACTCAATTGATTTCCATTTCAAGGAGCCTTGTTCTGAGTAGGATGGAATGTAATACTTGATCCCAATGGAGATGAGTTTCTTGAAAGTTTGGCAACATTTTTCTTCAAAATGTGATTCATCTGCTCTACCTTCCCAAGAAAAACTTTTCAGTTTCCTGTAAAAGCTGTCATGTAGCTGCCACAGCTCTCAAGCAGACTGTTCACCCCTGGACAGTATAAGCTAATTTGTTTAAAAAGCCCGCCAAGACTCCGTCTGCTAGGTTTAAGCAGGAACCCAAGAAACCTCACTGCTTGTTGGCAAATGTGGGTCTTCTCTGCTGATACTTTATGGCCCCAAGTTGCCAGATGGTTCAAGGTAGCTATAGTATTAGTTAAATGGTGCATCTACCTATTGTAACAAAGTTCCTCCCTCTAGTTTTAGGTCTTTTAAGTCCTGGCTCAGGGTCTCCTCAAAAATTGGGGAGTTGTTGAACCTTTGTGATAAGACTGTCCAGGTTCTGCCATTCAAAAGCAGACAACAGTTGATGATAGTGTTGGTCAACCAAATGCAAAAGAAAACATCTTTTAAGTCCAATAGTGAATACCAGAGGCTGTCCCTGAGTGTACTGTTTTCTACAGTGTCATTTATGGCCTTTAAACCTTGTACAGGGAGCAGCAGTGCCAGATGAGTCTATATTCCTGAAACTTCTGAATTACTGGACATATTCCTTCCAGGGTCTCCTTTTACTAGAGATACTGCCAGAACTGAGAGTCCCTGTCCTGGCTTGAGGTCAGCTTTAACAGGGGAGGCTCACCTAGCCCTCCCAGGCCTTCCAGCAGCCCACGCAGTGGGGTTTACCTGATTCACAACTTCTTCTGTCCAGTGTTGCTTTCCTCTTTCCTGAGGTTTCATGAGGAACTGCCGAGTGTGCTCTGAAGGGACCTGTAGGGGAATGTTCTTCTGGGGAGAGAGTGATTTGAACACGGAGTTTTGACAACAAATTCCTTCCCAGAAGAGGAAAACCATATCTCCCATAGCACATTCTAATAACTTCAAGAAAAATTGGCTTCTAGGGCTTTCAGAAGTTCCAGTTCCAGTTCCAGTTCAGTTAGGGGTCTGTTGACAGCGGAATACATCTCTGTATCAATTTTTTAAAAAGTGTACAATTTGCCCCCTCACTCGTAGCTTTACCCAAGTTCTCAGACTCACCTTCTTTTACCCCACTCTGGCTCTCATTTTTTCAGTGCCCTTTTCCTTTGCAGTATGATTGCCCTGGCCCAGTAGGGGCTTGTCCTCCACTGAATTTGGTTCCCTGATGGGTTCGGGACAGAGAGACCAGTGCAGGCTCACCGCCTTTGGTTTCCTCAGCTCAATAAGGAGGAGAAGTCCCCTGGGAACCCTGACCATGCTCGCCGCAGCCATCCCGATTTTCCTGGTCCCTCCGTTCTGGGCTTTTGTTATCTGCCACAGGCAAATTCCCTCTTGTCTGGACCGTTTTCCCATTTCCCTGATCTTTGACAAAACAACTCTGATTGCACTATAGTACAGTCAGTAGTCTAAAGACCCATTCAGGAGCCAGCTCTCTCCTGAGTCCAAATTATACATAAGCCAAGCAGTATTACAATAAAAAACATTTTCTTAGGTTCATAAGCATAGGCCAACCAGTCAGCCAGAAGTTACCCCAAAGGGCTGTGTCCTGGAATGGAGGCTTCTACCAGACAGAGCTCTCATATTACACAAACCAAAAGCACCTTAATTACAACTATTTAAGTCATAACCTAGGACTTTAATTCTACCAGAGATCTGTAATTTCACACAAACCAGAAGGCGCTTTAATTAACCTGGGACTGCAATTCTGAACCAGAAAGCACAGCTGTTCGATCAAAAGTGAAGGCAATGGGGAATGCCAGAAATCAGAGGTGAGTCCCCAAGTGAAATCACTTGGCATTTGCTAGGGAGTCTCCAAATCTGCACCCCAAAGCTTCCCAGTCCAGGTAGCTAACTGGACTTCACCAAAACCAGGCTTCCTGGAGTGTCCCGAAGGTCCCCACAAGAGTCACCAGGATATGAGACCGGAAGAGTCAGCGTTTGTGACTGTGGGAGGTGTTCTCAGTGAGCTGGTGTGACTAGCTAAGAGTGCTCCTCTTGGACACTCTCAGGCTATAGTCCGGTGTCAGCCATACTTCTTGATTCCATAGTTGAAATTTCTGGAATTTCTACTCAAAGTGAATGCTTGCTGAGCACTTCAGATTGTTTTTAATCAAACTAAATTTTCTTTCTGGAGTTGCCTTTGGGTAGTAGGTGTTTTTGACCTTCATATTTCTGTATTTGCCCAGGGAGAAATTTTTCCTCCAGTTGACAGCCAGAAAAGCACCTTGCTTATTCAGGCAGTGAGCATATAAAATAATTGTTTATCCTTTTCAGTTGCAGGTTAATCAATACACATCATAAATTAAAATTGAATTCAGTGGTGTTTTTAGCTGGTCTGTTAAATTTGTTTACTGGAGAGATTCTTTTAATACCTTTAACGTTATTTGTTTACCAGAGCATTTTAGTCCAACCTCTTCATGTCAAGTTTATAATGTTAAATAGAATACTAAAATAGTATCTAAAACAGTCCCTGACTCAAAGCAGGTGTTTTTCACTATGCATTGGATTGAATTGCTAGTAACCCTCTCTGAGCCTGATTTCATGGATCTGTGAAACTTTTAGTGTTAAGAATTACCTAAAACATGAGTGTAAACCTATCACTTTTATTACTACTATCAAACCACCAAGATTCTTGAAAGAGATAGGACACATCCTATCATCTAACAAGGCCAGTCAAATTTAATATGCTTACTTTAGGCTATTTTGACTGGGAAAGTTAGGCCTTATTTTCAGAAAACCTTCCTGGCATTGTAACTTTTTTACTGCATCTCAAGTTCAGACATCCACCCCATGTACCTAGCCACAGAAATTTTCCACCACAGTGAGACTCCGTTACTGGAGTGTGTAACTCAGGTTTCAAGGCCTACCCCGCTCCCTGCCCTCTTCCCACAGTAACCTAGAGCATCTCTCTTGCAGTAGTTCCCCTTAACAACGTCCCCCCTTCCTCATTTTTGTATTTGTCACCCCCACCAATTTCTTTGATAATGGTTTAAAGGAAATATTCTTTTCAGTGTAGGGCTGTCCTCACAAGTTCATCATAGATGCTTAAGGAACTTCAGCCTTCTGGCCAGTCCTGATTATTCAGACATTTTATTAGTATCATTTTGGAGCAAGGTTTCAGCAATTAAGCATCCCTAAGTATTTTCTCCTGTTCTTAAAGAATCATTGATGCCTCAGGTGATTTTCACAACATTCTGGTTGCTTATCCTGCACCATGACATCTTACAGGAATTTTTGAGAACTTGAAAAATTGTCTACATTATTCTGTTCCATAAAAACTTTTCATGTATTTTGAGGTTCACCAGGCAGATATCTCTTCAGATACGTAGTCAAAAAATAATATTCTTAACATGCAGTGCTTTATGATTTACAAAATGTATTACTGTGTTATAACTCAGTTGACTTCTCACGGCATCTGATGAGAATTATTTTGCTTTAGGAAAAACTGGGATCCCAGTTCAATTCCAGGTCTTCAGTTTCAAAAGCCTTCAGCAGTTCATTATAATTCCTCTTAACTAAAACTTTGATAGCTTAGCATGTTGTAAATGGTACAGGCAAAACTTTCAGAACAAAAATTGATATTTGCCTTTCTTTTCAAAAGCAAATTCTGAGAACTCTACTTTCCATTGGTCAGATTTCTTCTCATTTAATTTCCCCAACTGGTTCTACTCTTAGTTATCAGCTTAGCAGAGATAGTTCCAAGGATTTTGCTGGTAGTTCCTGTAAAAGTCCCAGGGCTGACCTGGCCTATCTTAGGTTATATGCCTTCCCTTAATTGACCAGACCAGAAACTGGGTTTGTATAAACCAAGCCTGGGTCATGTTTCTCTTCCTCTCAAATCACATGAAGTAAGAGTGAGGCAGTGGATAGGTACCTAAAGAGACACTGGGGTGCTGTTACCAGCAGAATAAGGAATGGATACTGTGTTAGGCAAAAGTAACCCTCTACTGGAGAGAAGATGTAATTAACTGGGATTAAGTGCTCTCCAAGAGCTCCACGGTATGTACTATTGCCCTAAAGTCTCTGAGTTTAAAGATAAACAAGCTCATTTGACCCGGGATAAAAGCACTTGCAGAAACAGTTTTCTTTTAGGCTTTGGAAATAACATTCCACTGATACCCTTGCTAAGTTATCTTCTGGTTTGGTTCTTCTATTAATCTGTACTTGGAATTGGCAAATACTTGAAATCTAATAGAACTAGAGATTTTCAGCCGATTTAGGTGAGTTTTGTATTTATTGTAATTGCATCTGAGTTCTTTACCTTCCAAATCAGATGATCGCATCTAAACTACCCCTCCTGTATGTAGACTGACTTGATACCAGTGAGCTTTTCAAATAGGGTCCACAGGGGGAAAAAATGAGCAAGTGAAAAAAACAAAAAACGAGTATAAGAACACCAAGCCATTTTTTAGTATCTCTATGGTGCTGTTTTACCTGTTTCAGGGATGACTATACCCAACCAGATTAAGGAAGAAAGAAAAGTAGCTGAAGCTTGTAATTGTGTAGATCTGGTGGAAAGTGTATCCTTAGAGTCAACAGTTGTAGAAAGGAAGGAAGCCCCTCCTCCACTGAGTCAAACGGAAGCCTGGCCTTCTCTGTGGGCTGTGGAGCTGTCACCCCCCCCCACACACACACACCCCCGGGGTAGGACACTCTTCTGTTAAGGATGCACAGATGGCTTTTGGTTGTAAGGAGGGAGAGTTAATATTCAGGTTTTAAAAAGCTGGTTTAGATTAATATCCAACTGTTGAAGAACCAGGAACTCTCAGAAATGAAAATAATCATAACATAGTTTTTGTGCCAGATTTTTTTGTTTGTTTAAAATTATTCTCCTATCTTTACCCTGTTATTCCACATAAAAATAGGAGAAATTTATTTCAGGTGACTTACACATCAACAAAGAGAAAGGATTCATCCAGATACAAAATAACCCACAGTGGGGGTCTAATGTATAAAGTACAATGAGTGAGTGTAATGTATGACTTTCAAAAAAAATTCTTGAAGTTTTGATAGAATTATTGGTGTTTGTGGAAGAAGGTGCCTGTGTGTGTGTGTGTGTGTGTGTGTGTGTGTGTAAAACTTGTGTGTATTTCTTAAAAGTTACAAATTATTCCAGATTCGAAATTGACTTTACTAGAATTAAAATGCCTATTCATTAGTAGGATAATATTCTTGTAAATTATTACTCTTCTAAAAAATACAGGTTATTGCATATTTCACAGATAAAACGGAAGCACTTCAAGGGCTTGGTAATTGGACCTAAGACGGTCAGCCTTGTTAAGCCCCTGTACTCTCCTCTCTGCCAAACTGCCTAGTGGATTAACTGTTACATTTAATATCCACTTTACCACTAGAAAGTTAAGGTGTTAATAACTTAGTTATCTTTTTTACTTTATTTAGAAACCTGTTTGGAGGTTATGGATGATAAGCCCAGTTCTGGAACCATAAGTGAGAGTTCAGAACTTCTTTTCTCCTTCGGAGTTATAGCAGATATTCAGTATGCTAATTTAGAAGACGGCTATAATTACCAAGGAAACAGAAGAAGATACTACAGACATAGTCTTGTTCACTTACAGGATGCTATTGAACACTGGAATAAAGAAAGCAGCCGGCCCTGTTGTGTGCTTCAGCTGGGAGATATCATTGACGGCTATAATGCGCAGTATAAAGCATCAGAGAAGTCACTAGAACTTGTTATGAATGTGTTTCAAATGCTTCAAGTCCCAGTTCATCACACATGGGGAAATCATGAATTCTATAACTTCAGCAGAGAGTATTTAACAAACTCTAAACTGAACACAAAGTTTCTAGAAGACCAGATTGTACATCATCCTGAGACTGTGCCTACAGGGAGTTATTATGCTTACCATTTTGCTCCGTTCCCTAAATTCCGGTTCATTTTACTTGATGCTTATGACTTGAGTGTCTTGGGCGTGGATCAGACTTCTCCAAAATACCAGCAGTGTCTGAAGATGCTGAAGGAGCACAATCCAAATATGGAATTGAATAGTCCTCAAGGTGAATTATTCCTTTGAGCTGAGAATCTAATACATTGTCTTTAAATTCTTCAGCTACCTATTATTCAGCAGGAAGATGGATGACTAAGGTAAAAGTATATTGTCGCTGTTGTTCAGGGTCAGGATTTCTCACAAGCCTCGTGGTATATGGATTGGTTGCACTTGGTTCAAAATTTCTTTTAACAGATATCCGAATTCCTTCTCTGGGCTGAGCACTCTTTCTAGAGCTTAGCTGTTTACAACTGTAAGCAGTATTGGCAATATCACTCTTTTAACACATAGAAGAAACAAAAGTAGGCAGGCAGGCCTGTTTATTAATGACACAGTAACAAGATTATTTTCACAGTGATACATGCTACCAAGAAAATATAAGGAGGGACCATTTTAGTTCAGGTGGTCAGAGCTAGCTGCTCCAAGGAGAAAAACATTGAAGCTGAAACCTAAATGACAAGGGAGTCCACCTTGGGAAGAATACTTGTGACAGAGGAGAAACAAATGCAGAGGCACTAAACAGTAAGACTAGCGTTCTTGAATGCAGAAAAGAGCCAGTGTGCAGGAGGATGTCAGAGTAGTTCAGTGGACACAGTAAAGAGTCCTATTTTATTTTCAGTGTAATAAGCTAATGAAGTAAGCAGAGGAATGTCAAAGACTAGAAAAAAGATACAATATGATTTATTTGAATATTGCTCTAAATTCTGGTGGTTTCCTATTTTAACTCAGTTGCTGCCTAATGTTCCTAAAGAGAAGTGTACCCATGTTAGCTAAGTTCGAATGCCCTCATGACAAGAAAATAATGTTTGATGGCTCTAACGTGCAGAATTCATTTTAGGGCTTTCTGAGCCTCAGTTTGTCCAGTTTAATGGAGGATTCAGCCAAGAACAGTTGAACTGGTTGAATGAAGTCCTTACATTCTCGGACAGAAACCAAGAGAAGGTGGTGATCGTGAGTAAGTATTTAAATGATTTGTTAAATACTAGCATTTTACAAAATAGAAAAAGTTAAATTTTAAAACATACTAAACATTTATTATATTGTGATAGCCTCTTTCTATAAAATGAATGCTCGGTTTAAGTTTTTTATTGAAAAAAATTTGATTTTTTATCAAGAAAAACAATCTGAGTATGAGATTTACTCTGAGTTGAGTAAAGGAAGAATTGAATTGTAAAATACAAAAGCATTTTGCCAGACACTAGAGCCTGTGAGTTGGCCTTTTAGGTTTCATAGTAGAATTTCCCCAAATGGGATCAATTTACATAGTAAAATTTGAATGAAAAATTCAGTTCAGGCCCCATCCCAAATCTTAATCTTAGAAGAAGTACCTGGCAGTGCAGTGGCCACCAGACAGATCCTGCTGCCTGGATGAAAGCCAAGCAGATGTAACAGGAGTGAGTGTTACAGACACAGCTGGCAGCGGGAACAGACCTAATTACTGTTTTCATTCAGAATCATTTTTACAGACATGCTGCCATTAGAGATTGTAGGAATCTGCAGGTGCTTAAAATACACCCAGGTGTGAGTGTGTGCACATGCCTGTATACACAAAGACTTGAATTTGCATTGTGGCTGGTGTGCTTGCTCTGAGGGCTGAGATTAGATTCCTTGTTTCAGGGCTCTAACTGATGTAGTGTAATGGATGAGAACACTGGACTGAGTCCCAAGGATGGAATGCCATTCTGGCTCTTATATCTATGATCTGTGTGACTCTGGGCAAATGTCCAACATACAAACTGTGGTTTTCTCAGTATTGCACCAATGAAATTGTGAACATGAAAACTGTTTGGAAATGACAGGCTGTCCAGATAGTTGATGATATAAAAGTAGGTTTCTATCTACATATGTAGTCTTTTACTTACTATCTCCCACTGATACAGTAAGAACACGTAGATGGAGTTAGGGGTGTTTCTGCCACCACTGGTGTATCAAATGTCATTCAAGGCTTGGTAAGTGTAAGGTACTGTCAGGGGTTATTGGCATGGTGTGATACAGTGAGTGTCTCAAAAACTGGGACACTTCCTGACTTGTCTATGCTTTGTAGCTCTTTACTGCTAGCTTGTACTTGTTACTTTAGAGAGCCCTGGAACTACAAGGGGCCTTGAGATCATGTAGCAAACCTTTAGTTCTAAAGATGAGGAAACTGAACCAAAAGAGATTTAAACTGAAAGCACACAGCTACTGACAGAACCAAGACTAAAGAGTCCATGTTTTGTATCCCACCCCTTTCCCACTCTGTCCCATATTCTTATTTTTTTATGTCAGTGCTCTTATCTGCAGTATCAGTTTCTTAAATTTCTTCTGTTTTCTGTAACCTTAGACACTGTATGAACAAATCTTTAATAACTGAGTGTCCCAGGTTTTCTTTAGCAAAGTATAAAATGACTTAATAGAAACCTATTTTTCATTTGCTTTTTCACTTTCCTTTTGGCTACTCAGATACCATTTTGGCTATATCTAAACTTCTGGCCATGAAGTTGGAAGGACAGACTTGCTGTGAGCTGAGTAGGGAACACTGCAACAGGAGGAGGTTTTCGGTGGAGGGCTCAGGAGTTCAAGTTTGAAAATATGAACTTTCAGGTGCCTGTTTCACATCAGTGGAGATGTCGAATAAGCAGTTTGGACATAATGAATCTGAAATTCAGAATAGAAGTTTGGACTGGATGTATAAATGTAAAAGTTGAAAGACTACAGATGGTACTTAAAACTATGTATGTACACTTTTAAGAGATCACCAAGTTGCTATGTGTAGATCAGAGAAGTGAGGTCCAAGAGCCGAACATTCAAGCATATAAGATACTGGGGAAATGAGTAATAAGCAAAAGAGAGTGAGAGTTAGTTGCCATTGAGGTTGGAGGAAAGTTTGGAGGGCTGATTCTGTTCTGGAAGTCCAGGGTTTCAAGGAAAAGGGAGCAACTGAGATTTGATAGATAATTCTATTCTGGCATCTAGATCTGGAAAGTTACATGGCCTCTTTGGACACTTAGCTCTGCCGCAGCTTGAGTGACTTGAGTGTGTGCACGTGCAGATATAAACTGTTAGCCCCCTTCTTTTTTTACTTGTAATGTAAACGAGTAGATATTAAGCAGAATAAAAATACATGGTAACAGAGAAAAGTGATTTAGTGGGAGGAAGCAAAGCCCAACGAGCTGCTGTACCTGTAGTTCAGAGTGAAAGTGTGGCCTGATCTATGACGGGGCCTCATTCATGTCTTGGCAGCAAGAATTTGAAAGTCTCCTGGCTCTACTTCCACATGCGTCCTGTGGGACCTAGTGTGAGTGTTTCCCACGTTAGCTCAGTTTCCTCATCTGTAAAATGGCTGTGGCTACCTTGTTCTCCTGGAGATGTTTAAAGTGGCATTAATCAGTTTTTTATTAAAACATTGAGTGTTTATAAAAATGGCATAACTCACTGGCCCATCCCTAGTGTGTTTTTTACCTAAGAGCCTCTCTTTATGTGTATGTAATTTAAGGAAATCCACAAGACTGGACTCTAGCACCACGTTTGCCTGACTCTGGCTGCCTTTGCAGACTGCCCTGTATAGGATGCCCTCAGTCTCCCTTGATGTTTGTACATATTGAGACCCTCGGGGCTTCTGTCTCTCCTGGGGCCTCTCTGCCCTTGTGTGTGAACTGTCTCGGCCTTTACACTCCAGAGATGTGGCTGTAGATGACCTGGTTCTTCTCCCCCTCAACCTGACCAGTCAATTCTGGCTGGTCTCAGTCCATGAGGGAACAACATACACTGTGTTTCTGAATGCTAGTTTTTAGACACTAATTTTGGTGAAAGGGGTATATCCTAATTGGCCTATAACTCTTCTTCTCCTTAATGAACAGGTCATCTTCCCATTTACCCAAATGCCTCTGACACCGTGTGCCTGGCCTGGAATTACAGAGACGCCCTCGCAGTCATTTGGTCTCACAAGTGTGTGGTGTGTTTCTTCGCCGGTCACACTCACGATGGCGGCTACTCCGAGGACCCTTTCGGTGTGCACCACGTCAATGTGGAAGGAGTCATTGAGACAGCCCCGGACAGCCAGGCTTTCGGCACCGTTTATGTCTATCCAGACAGGATGGTGTTGAGAGGGAGTGGCCGAGTCACAGACAGGATTATGAATTACAAGAGCGAAAAACCTTTTCCATTTTCTGTCTGATTCATTTTATCATTATAGGAAGAGGATGACTTTGGTTGTGTTTTTGTTCCCCTTTCCTACCCTGAAATCCTCAGTGTCCTTCTTTATTATCCCATCGGCATACCAAAGCATGTTCACAACTTCAGTGTGTATCAGCTTGTGAGACATCTGAATGTCATCTCTCGACCGTAAATCCAGTGCTGAAATTGGAAAAGATGAATGAACGTGAGCCAGGGAGGAGACCCTGGGGGGCGGGGGTGAGATATAGTCCTCAAATCAGACTTGACTTTAGCCTTACCTGAGTTTAAAATTTTTTTTTTTTTACTTTGTACAAGGAGAATATGCTCATGTATTAGCTATATAACTTAAAATTCATAATAAAAAAATAAGCTCAGGTAAAGCTTTTCCTTTTAACCCTGCTATGCAAATGAGCTTTGGACATATTTTTGCTCAGAGCATCCATCATATTGTACTTTTATAGACTTGTGTTCCTATTTTGTAGACCAAAGCTATCAAGTTGCTTTACAGGTGACTCAGTGGTGCTCTCCTTCACGCAGGTGAATGTGCGCCCTCCCATGGGAGGCTGTGAGAAGGACCTTTGAAGGTATGTGGTCCTTTTGTGACTCCAACCAAAGCAGAAGCAAGTGCCATGTAGCTGTGTGCCTGCTCCCTTTGGGCCACTAGCTAGTGCTGGTGAGGACTGCAGCCAAGTGAATTTACCTGACTTCCTTCGTAGATGCATGGGACCTGTTAATGCTGTTGCCATGTGTGCTAAGGCTTATTCTCAGAAACACACACTAGATGGCAAATGGGGACTGTTGAAGCATAGAGAAAGTTTGATTTAGGGCTTAAAAACAGTAGGAGATAAATTGATACTAGTCAACATGAGTGAGTGTGCCTGCTGCGTATCTAGGCATAATGGGCATATTCATTGTCTTGGCTACTGTGACAAATTACCACACACTTGGTGGCTTAAGTAACACATATTTGTTCTCTTACAGTTCTGGAGTCAGATGTCGGACATTACTGTCACTGGTCTGAGATCAAGGTGGTGTTAGGGCGTGCTCTCTCGGGGCTGGGCAGGGGCTGTTTCCTTCCCTTTTCCAGCTTCTGGAGCTGCATTTCTTGCTTGGCCCCTTCTTCTGTTGTCAAAGCCAGCAAGGTAGCGTTTTCAAACCTCTTTCTGCTTTGTTGTCACATCACCTTTTCCTCTTCTGTCTGTGTAGTCGTCTTTGTGTCTCCTCTCTCTTTCCCACAATTCTGATCACATTGAGGGCCCACCAGGTGATCCAGGATCATCTCATCTCCAGAGCCTCAACCTGATCACATCTGTGAAGTCCATTTTGCTGTATAAGGTAACATTCATACACTCTGGGGATTAGGGCCTGGACCTTTGAGGGCTGTTGTTCAGTTTACCAGAGAGGTGGCTGTGTAATCTGCTCCCTGCACTCGCCAACTTTGGTGGTGAGGAGACAGATCCCTAGGTACAAATGTGTGAAGACAGGACTGTGCGAATGTGGAGCAGTAATTTAAGTCTGTTTGCAGGGATTAGGGATGACTTGAAGAAGAAAGAAGAATGGTTTAAATGGGTGTGGAAGTATATTTCAAGTAGACAGAGTAGCATAAGCAGAGGCATGGAAGGATATGCAGAATTTAGGAGAGGCAAGTAATGCTATGATGAATCTCCAAAAGTAATAAAGCAGGAAAGGTTAAGCTTGGGCTACGTGGAAAAAAGGCATGAATGACCAGCCCAGGTTTGGGATTAATCCCTCGGGCTCCTGCGCTGGGCACTGTGTGATGAGACTTGTGTCTCAGTCCAGGCCGTGGCTACTGTGAGGCTGGTGTAGAAGAGTAACAATGGCAGAAAAAGATTGGGGGTGAGAAGCAGGCTTTGATAATAGAATATTAAACTTACTGTAATACCTAAATTCACCTGAAAAGGAGAGTTTAAAAACTATTAAAGGCGGTACCCTCCTTTTATACACTTACAGAGACTTGAACTGTATATTCACAGGATTCAGTGTGATGTGGGCAACGCCAGTGTGATGAAAGTGTCTCAGACAGTATTTCTGTTTTTCAAAATGGAACTTTACCATCTTTTAAGCACAGAATCAAGCATTACTTGGAGAATGGGTAGGTCCTATACAAAATATGCGATTAAGTCCATTTCTTTATACATGACCTTAATAGTTATACTAAAATGTATAAAAGCCTATTATACAAGCTAAATATATACTGGAACACTAAAATCCTTTATTGACCCTTAAAATAAATTTTACTTTAATTGCTTTAATATCGACAAGATTTTTTATCATTTCACCTCATCTAAATCTTGATCAAGGATTTCTGACCAGTGGCTATTGCATAAAACAAACAAAACACATGCATACCTTCTCCAAACATTTATAATGGAACACTTAATAGAAATATAGGCAAATTTTTTTAGGCTCATTTTCACTCTCCTGACATATGGTTGGTGCTCATACTTTTTGAGTGAACTGTTTCTTGAATTTCATGAAGCAGTGTCTGGGCTGTGGGGTCGGGTGGCGGCCTGTGTGCAAACGGTGTTCTTGCTCTCCAGATGCACCGTAGCAGCGCTGGCCAACAGAAATACGGTGAGCCCGGCAGTGATTTTAAATGGATTAGCAGTTGCGTTAAAAAGTGAATAGGAACAGTAAAAGTGAACTTTAATAGTATAATTTATTTACTGCAGTATATCTAAAGTATTTCAACATATAATCAAATATTTTACATTTTTGATATGTCTTTAAAATCTTGTATATATTTTATACTTATCCATTTGGGCACTAACTTCATTGGAAACACTTGCTCCGTATTTAGATATAAAATCTGCAGTTGAAAAAATTTGCAATTTTAAAAAATGTTTATCGATTTTGGTCTTAATTTTTCACTTTCATTGTAATAAATGTTCCTCTTTTTTTTTTTGGTTCCAAATTCTTTTATTCTATCTAATGTTCTTTTTTTTTCAAGACATACTTGCTGGTCCAGCTGGAATTCTCATTTAGCTCATGGCACTGAACCAGTTAAATGTAATGAAGCTCTGTTGCCATCGTGTTAACTGAACCCTGCTTCCCTCTGTTTTAGCCATGTGCAGTTCTCTGAGCACTTTGTATTTACAGAGTGCTCTCAAATTGCTGGTTTAATCCTTGCAACTGTATCAGTAGTATTAATCCTGTTCTATAGATAAAGAAACATCCACCAGGAGGTTTTTTAATGTTTGCCCAAGTCACTTGTATAGCGGGGACACGGAGTTAGAATCCGTATTTCTTAGTTTTGTTCTGACTGCCTTTTCTACTGCACTCCGAAACCATGGCATGCCAGACCCGTCTCTTAACTAGTCCCATGCAACCCTGTGCTGTATTGTGGTCAGCCTTAGACAGTTCTTAAGATTAAAAATGTAATCCACGTTTATAAAAAACGGAAATTTTTCATTTTAAGAACAGGATTCATTTAAATTACTGTCTTGCAGTGAGTTGGCCAGGAGGAGCGCATCTCCTTGTTAACATATATGTAGACCCAGGCAAAAAATGGGAAAAGGGCGATTATGATGGCCACAGCCAGCTGAATTCTTCCACCGACTGGATGCCTATGAAAACACAAAAATTGTTACAAATAAAAATCCCATTAAAATTACAGATTGCTTTGGAAACAAGTATAAAGATAGAATTTCGTAAAATACATAATTATTTTTTATATGATCCCTTTTTAAAACATTTTTTATTGAAATATAACTTACTGTGAATTCTTTATTCTAAAGGCAAATCTTTGTTGTTTATATATGTTACAAATAGCTTTTCCTACTCAATCATGTCTTTTGAGGAACTAAAGTTGTTGACTAAGCAATGTTAAAACCGATCTTTTTATAATGATTTTTGTGTCCTGTACGAGAGAATTTTCCTTCCCAAAGGTCTTGAAAATCTTCTCTAAAAGTTGTATTGTTTCACTTTCACACAAGAGCTATAATCCACAGGGAATTCATTTTTTTAAAAGTTGTAAGGTAGAGGTTGTTTTGCCCTTTTCCCCCATGGATATTCAAATGCTCCAGCATTATTTATTATAAAGATGGCCTTTCTTCTCTACCCTGCAGTGCCATTATGTCATAGGTCTCTGGGTGGATCAGTCTGTTTCTAGATTCTGTTTTGTTTCACTAGTGTATCCTTTTGCCAGTAATAGGTTTAGTGTATACTGCCATAGGACAGTTATTTAGTTCTTCCTTATTTTAATATTTAGGTCTTCTTGAATTTCTCCCATAATATTTTATAGTTTTGTGTGTGATATTTTGCATGTCTCTGCTAGATTTATTCCTAGGGAGTTGATTTTTTTTTATTATAAATGGTAACTTTCTGTTACTATTTTCTATTACTTGCTAGCTAATATGGGTGCAGTTCATTTTAGTAAATTGACCTAGTATCCAGCCATCATGCTAAACTCATTTATTCAAATAACTTTTTAGATCCTTTTTGATTTTCTATGTATGCAATCATGTCACACATGAATAAGGAAAATTTAATTTTTCCTTTTCAATCTTTGGGCCTTTTTTTTTTCTTTTTCTTGCCTTCTCATACTGGTGAGGACAATAGCTAGGACAGCATTGAGTAGAAGTGTCAGTAGTGACCAACCTCATCTCATTCCTGACCTCAGGGAAAGTTTCACCTGCTCACTGTTCGGTGTCATGCTTTGGCATAGATGCCCTTCATCTGGTCACGTTCCCTGTTTTCTACAAGCCTGTTTTCTACGAGCTTTTATCATGAATGGATGTTGAATTTTATCAGATGCTCCTTTCGTACATATTAAGAAGATAGTTTGGTTTCTTCTTTCATTCTGTCACTGCAGTAGGAAACATTGGTTGCTTTTTGAACATTAAACTAGCTGTGTTCCCAGGGTAAACACATTTTTCCTTTTCCATCTGTGGTTATAGGTGAGATTGCCACGTAACTTCTTCTTTTTTTTTTGGTAATGTTCTTCTCAAGTTTTGGTATCAAGGGTATTCTGCCCTAATAAAATGAATTGGAAAGTGTTTCTTCTTTTTTTGTTCTCTGGAAGAATTTGCTGAAGCTTAAAATTATTTTTCTCTAAATATGAGGTAGAATTCTCCAGTCATACCAATTTGGTCTAGAGGGGTTTTTTTTGGGGGGGGGGGGTGGTTAGGAAAAGTTTAAAGTATGGACTCAGTTACTTTAATATTTATGGGACTGTTCTGAGTATGTCTTGCGTCAGTTTTGATAAATTGTACTTTTTAATGAATTGTTCATTTTTGTCTACATTTTCAAATTTATTGGCAAAAAGTTGTCCATACTTTCTTACGAATTTGCAATATCTACTAGATAATAATGATCTTTCATTCTTGAGATTGGTTATTTGTACCTCCTCATCTGTGTTCACTCAAATTATTTTCTGTTTTTAGTCTTGCCAGGACTTAACAGTGTTGTAAATCACTTCAGAGAATGAATATTTGACCTACTTAGTCCTCTAATTTTTATTTCATTGGCTGAATTTTCATTTCATTGGTTTCTTTATTTAGGTTTACTTTCTTCTTGTTTCTTTGGTTTTAATTTGATGTTCTTTCTTAACTTCTTGAATTGGAGAATTCCTAAGTTCTTAGAAGATTAGCTCACTGTTTTTTGCCCTTCCTTGTTTTTTTAAAAATATATGTATTTAAGGCTATTATTATCCCTCTAAGCATGTTTTTTAGCTGCAGTCCCCAGATTTTAGTATGTAGTATTATCATTGTATTCAAAATATCCTCTAAAATCATGTGATTTCTTTTACCCAGATATTATTGGGAAGTGTATTTCCTAATTTTCAAATGTACAGTGATTGTCTGATTATTATTTTTGTCAACTATTTCTCACTTAATTGCACTATGGTCAAAGAACATCCTCCGAAAGTTCTGAGGCCTTATTGCATGGCCCAACGTACAGTCTTTTTGTGAATCTTCAGTGCGTACATGAAAAGATTGTGAATTCTGCCATTCTTGGTGCCAACGTTCTGTATGTGCTGGTTAGCTCAAATCATCTGTATCATTATTGGGTTTTTTGTTTGTTTTCTTGCACTATTAGTGACTAAGAGAATTCTGATAAAGTCTCCCAAGATGATTGTAGATTTTCTAACTTTAGTTCTGTCAATTTTTATCTATTTTGAAGCTGTTTTTTGTATACAAATTTAGAATGGTTATCATGTGTCTGATACAATGGTTTATTTTACCTTCCTGATTTAATGAATCTTTAGTCCTTAAAAAGTGTCTTTCTTTGGTATCCACTTTTGATTAAGTGGTGTTGAGACCACTACATAGTGAAAAGGAAAAAAAGATAATTTCGGATCAGTTCTTTATAGTGTCACACTGGGATAAATTCTAATGAGATCAAAGATTCAATACAAATACATGTTCTAGAAGAAAACTTACTTTACTGTACACCCTGAGAGGAAAGAAAAATTTCCTGTGATTCCAAATCTGGAAGCAATAAGGGAAAGGATTGATGTATTTGGTTACATTAAAAACAAAAAATTTTCATGGCAAAGGAAAGTGTACTTTGCATGAGCAAAGTAAAATAATGATAAGAAACTGCAAAAACATTTTTTTCAGCTTATGTCACAAAGGGTTAATAGAGTATATAAAGAGCTTCTAAAAATAGAGAAGACTGACAACCTTAGAAACAGGTAAAACCTGGATCTCAGAGATGAACCAACATTTTACAGTGAAAAGAACTGTAAATGGCTCTTAGTCATATGAAAATATGCTCACTTTTGATCCTAATAAGAAAAATGCAAATTAAAGCTACCCATTTCTCAACCATCTGATTAGTAAATATTCAAAATTTTGACAATATACTATTGGTATTAGTATTAATAGTGAAAGATTAGATATAGTCTAAACAAGGACTGGAGACACTGTGGACCTATCAGCAGAATAAGGAAAGTCTTTATGTACAGGATGATCTCCTGGGTGTAGTGAGGGGAAAATCAGAGAGAGGACTGTGGGGGCGACTTTATCACGAGTCCCCCCAAGTGCCACGGACGAAAATGAATGTGACTGAGATGTGTTGTGACCTATTTAGGGAGGAGAAGTGGGCTGTGGCCAGTTTCTCAGGGCAGACAAAGGCCAGCAGTGGCCAGTTTTTCTGAGGAGAAAAAGGCCCCCCCCCCAGCCCCTTTCTCCGTAGCCTTTTATTGGGTTGTAATACACAGGAATACAGGGCGGCAAGGATCAAACAGTAGATAACATTTCAAAGAAAGCTGAGGGCTTAATATCAGTCAGTGTCTGTCAGGAAGAGAGTTGCAGAAACTTTGGGAGACATACTCATTTCCTCTCCGACCCTTATCACCTGAATGAAAGCACTCTTAGCAGAGCAGATTTCACAGATTTATCAGCAAGTCTTTGTGATGCCAGATTTTCCCCCAGGACACGCTTTAGCAAGGCAAGGAGCTGCACCCTTCTCCATCAGGTATTCAGGCTTAAGGGGATTAGAGCCAGGAAGTGCTTCTCCCAGAGAACATGGGGACTTGGGCTTTGACAAAGTGGGGGGGGGGGAGGTGAGAGTCCATTGCTCCCTCTTTGTTGCAGCCCTCCCAGTGCCCCCCCCATTGATCACTTGGGGGGGGCTTTTGTATATGTTTGAATATTTTAAATAAAAAATTAAAACAATCACAAAACATCCTTTTACTATAATGTTAGCCTTAAAGTCTACTTTTTAAAATTAAAATTGCTATACTAACTTAGGTTGCCGCCCCCCGCTTTGAGGGGTCTTACCCGTCATTGACTTCCAACCAAGCTTTGGGGACAAGGAGAGGAACTGAGGCAGAGTTTGCTACCAGAGACAAGCTTTGTCTCCTGCAGCTCGCAGGCTTGCATTCCAGAGATTGTTTCTCGCCCTTAGCCACCAAAGACTGAGATACAATTAATTCCTAAAACCATGGCAGAGCGGTCTACAACAGAGGACAGTTGTGTATAATGTGCCTGTACTTATAAGATAAGCAGTAATACAAATAAATGCACATACTTGCTCCATTAAGAAACCATGCAAAAATAAACCAGAGAATTGAAAACAGTTTGTAGACCGATGGGAGTATAGGGTTGAGGGGATCAAGAAGCTAGAGTGCTCTGAATATACTGTTTTGTAGACTTGATTTGGGGACCATGTAGCTATTTTACACAGTTAGAAAACAATGTATTTTTAATAAAGTTATCCCTAGAAATGAAAGTAAAATAAACTGTATTCACTTGTTAGTGTAGCACACAGACTAACCATCCCAAGTAATTTGAGTATACATCCCTTAGAGCAGTGGTCCCCAGCCTTTTTGGCACAGGGTTGGCGGGGTGGGGTGGGCAGGAGGCCGAGCTCAGGTGGTACTGACCTCTGCCTCAGAGGGATGTTCCCTAAGAACAACAAGCAAAACCCCCCAAAATCTGTTCTCAGTAATCATTGCTACTCTGAGATCGTGCTTGTGTTGTGGGCTAAGTCAAATGAGTTGTCTTGAGGACATTGAGATTAGAGGTTTTTGACACGATTAAAAGGAAATACAAGACTGCTGATAAAGTTACATGAAAGTCTGTGTTCTTTGAATTGCTAGGATCAGTATGAACTCATTTTTAAGTACACATGTAAAATGATAATCTTTATATTATAATATACATATTACAGATGTATGTGAATTTCCTAGCTCTGTCCACTGAAAAGAACCAGTGGCCAGTCCTGCAGCACTGAGCGCTGGCCACGCCTGGATTGCGACCTCTGCGCACCACAAGCCACTAGCAGCAGCCAGGCTGTGTGGGCACGTGGTTGATTGTAAGTCTGGGGTGTGAAGTGTACGGCGCTGTCTGGAATACTTTGTCTCACCAGAAAGCAGTAAAAGATAACTGGGGTTGTGTCAGAAAGAATTCAGGATTCAAACCTGAATATGTGCCACTGGTGAGGAGGGACAGTGGCAGCATCAATAAAGGTGACCAACTTCCATGGACTGAAAAAATCAGCTATGTTGTTGAAACCCATGACTTCATAATGATCCCATTCACAGAGCAGAAACAGAACTCCTTGGTCACTTTGGGAAGATTCCCAGGCGTGAAAGACTTCCTATTTTGAAAACTTGGAAAATTACGAATCAGCTCTTTTTTTTTTCCTTTTAAGATCTGTATCTCAAAGAACTGTTAAGTGGAAGTTTCTCTTTATAGAAGTTTTCCAGCTAATGATCAAGGAATGGTATAATTAGAATAGCACTGTTTTGAAACTCGAAGAAACAGCTACACATTATGTATATTATGGTGGAAGTACCTAATACCACCCATGAAGTAGTTTTACTTATTAGTAACAGTAATGATGCCAGAATCTGGCCAGGCCTCTAGATCTGCCCACCAGTTTATTGGAAATACACAGCCCAGAGGAGTAAGTGTTTACAAGACAACTGGGGAAAGGTAAACATTGATTGGAACACTCAATTCTGTAGAATTATTCTTTTCTGTGTGTGATGATGATAAAGCAGCTATTTTTTTAAGTGCTTCTCTTTTAATATATACTGAAACATTTAGACATAAAACAATATGGATTTATTTCAAAGTAATCTAAGTATGGAGAGGACAGTGATATAGATTAAACATGGTTGAACAAATAGTGATTATTGTTTAAGCTAGGTGATGGGTATGTCTGATTCATTATATTAGTCTCCCTGCTTTTGTATATGTTTGAATATTTTAAATAAAAAATTAAAACGATCACAAAACATCCTTTTTCTATAATGTTAGCCTTAAAGTCTGCTTTTTTAAATTAAAATTGCTATACTATCATTTGGTTGGTGTTTGTAAAGTATATGTTTTCCATCTTTTGACTTTTAATCTTTCTGTATTACATAATTAAGGGGTATATTTTGTAAGCATTTGTTTAGTGGGTTTTTAATGTCTTTACCCACATGGAAGATACTTGATTCTTAGTTGGAATATTTGGAACATTTGCATTTAATGCAATTTCTCACATACTTGGGCTTATTTTCTAAACACCTGCTTCCTAGTTTTCCTAACCTGTTCTTTTTCTCTTCTCCTTTTCTGCTGTCTGTACTCATTCTTCTCTTTTACTGTTTACTCTAAGGATTACCACATGAGTCTGTGACTTACCAAAGTCTAATATAGGTTGGCAGACTTCTTCCCAGACAACTTAAGGATCTTAGAACACCGTTCCTTTGTTTATCCCCTTCCAACTTATAAACTACTCTTGTCATGTATTTTTAAAATTCTTTATATGTTTAAGCCCCACAAAACATCATTTTATAATGTTAATATTCTTTTATATATACTCACACATTTTTTAAAAAATTGTACTTGCTTCTTCCCTCAGTCTCCAAGCTGCAGAAAGAGATTGCTTTCCTTCTCCCTGAAGAATACCTTTCCACTGGCCACTCCCTGTGATCACATGGGGCCACTCAGTGGGAAACTGGGCACTCGTGGAAATGCTTGTGATCATGGAGTTTTCAACCAGCTCATAGCTTTCCTTAAGGAATGGCATATCTCTCAAAAAAATCCCTGTTTTTATTTGTGTTGCAATAAGCTCACTTACCTCCTTGGCCTGATCAACCTTGAACACATCTGATTTGAAAACTTACTTTGATGAACTGTGGCACAGACTCATCCATGCTGCAGTAATCACCAGGCCAGTCAGCTCCCTGTAAAATAGCGTGCATTTCATGTTTCTGAAGCGGCTACAGGTAAGATGCACATCACCCCACTACCCCCATGATACTCGATTCTGCTGATTGTTGGATGACTTCCCTCAAGATATTCTCAAGTCTGGCATAAGTCATAAATTACTTTTCTCAGCTTAAATCCCTACATAAAAATAAGCACTATGTGAAGCAAATGCGGACTCCATAACTTCCCTAACTTAAAAATGAACGGGAAACCAATAAAAAACAGCTAAATTATGTCACTGGGTGGAATACTACAACCAAGAAAACACCTTCGATTTGAGCAGATATTCTTTTAACATTGTTTTAGGTATTCAGCAGTAGGCAGTGCTAGTGCCAATCAGTAATTTGAGCACAAGTTGCAGAGATTGGGTCACATTTTCCCGGAGAGAAACAATTTGCTGTGTGAGCCAGACTGATGATTTGGAATGGGTTTCTGCTAGATGTGTTAGAACAACTCATCTTTCACCCAGAGTAGGAAGCAACTGTATTGGGCCATAGTGCCACTGGAAGCCCCACTTTGAGTTCACCATGCCTTGTAAGCTTCAAGTTGGTGGAGGTGATTCAACCTGTTCGCTTTGCATCCCCACTGACTGACCCAACCTGATCCTGTTTCCCAAGGACGGGGGCCTGTGCTGTAGCAGCGCCTCACCAGTAATGCTTAACTTACAGGTCTCTAAATCTTGGTATTAGCAGATGTTAGCAATGAGATAAAAAGGAAAGGAATTGGGCTATTAGTGTGAGACCTGGGTGGGAGGAAGCCAAGAGTTTAAAAGAATGAATGGCCATGACAGGGAGATTGACCCGTGAGGTGGCCGATCACATCTGAAGATCAGATTTTGGCTTGAACCATAACGAAATCAATGCTAATGGAGTTTTCACCTTAGTCAACTGGACTATTACTGTGTAGTATCCTTGCTCATAAGGGAGTCATGGTCCCAGTGCCTGATGGCCAAATTACATAATAATGCAATGGCTGCCTACAGAAGTGATCTCAGTTCCATCATTTCTCAGGTTCAGGTTGTGAAGGAGATAATGCCTTCCCTGCTTTTCATGGTGTCATTACAAAATCACTGTGCACAGATAAGGTGTGGAAAAGGAGCAGGTTTCAGTGCTTACCACCCCTTCCTGAGAGCCAGAGTCAGCACTCACCTGCCTTCCTCCTCGTGTAGGACGTTCCACTGTGTGTGAAGCACCAGGTAGTGTGCCAAGCAGACAGCCCACGCCGTGCAAAGGAAGATGTGTACTGCTGAGACACTCTTCCAAATAAAGTTACCTAAAAGTGAAAATCACAGGATTATCCCGGAGAAGAATGGTCTTATACATATGGGCTTTGGTCTAGTCTGTTTTCAGGCAAAGCATTCAGAACAGTCTGGATGTTGCCTTGTTTTGTTTTGAGGGACATCCTAAAACAGTAAAGCACCAGTCATAAACTTTAGTGGACATTTATTATTTTTGAGACTACCCTTTTTGGGGAATCCACGTTCCCACACTCCAGTCATGTGGACCTAAGTGAGGCCAATCAGTGTGTTTCGTCCTTGCCAGACAGCAGTTTAGCTTAAGATGACACATGACAAATCAGGGCCAACGACTCAATTCTTGATCCTTTTGTGGAGGCATCAGGGGAGTGCATTCTATATAGTGCTGGACTTAGTGTGGGGAAGACGTGAGCTGAGCTGCACGGAACCATGTGGAGCCTGGGACTGCAGTCATCACAACAGACGGTGGAACTGAGAGCACAGACAAGTTCAAGGTCTCACCCACCAGGCCTAGGGCCAGCACCACTGTCGCCTTTTCAGCAAAGTATCCCATTACATCTCTTTTTTAGCTTAGAGCCATTTGAGTTTAGTTTTTTCTTCCTTGCTTGCAATGAATGGAGCCCTGATCTATACACTAAAGATGTAGGCAGAGTTCTAAGGGCCTATACAAGCACCTAGAGGACAGGGGTGCCCCACCCATGTGGGAACCAGTCTTTCTTCTAAGGCTTCGAGAACTTTCAAGTCCTACTAGTAGAAGCTGTTTTAAGGAAACTAAAGAATAACTTGCATTACTAATATTCCCCATTAATAGGAAAGTATTAGTAAATAATATTAAATACATTTTTTCTAAGGCACTGTTTTATAGTATAAAACTGTCCAACTTAAGGTTTGCTGAGCATCTCTAGGGTCATAAAAGGCAAAGCAGCTGTATTTTGTTCATAACTGAGGTAGGTGCCCTACAGGCAATGCAAACCAGCTATTTTGAGTTAATTTTTTACGTTTGTACTCACCTGGGATAGATGCATAAGTAAGGAGTCCATGAAGCAAGTTATAAAATAAATATATGATAAAGCCTCTGTTTTACAACCATCCATTCATTCATTGACTAGCATTCTTTTACTATCTCCATTCAGAATCCAATGTCCATACCTGTGACAAGAGGGTCAAGTCCAACGAGCAAAGTCAGCCCAGCAGGAATCATATACACAACCTGTTAGCAAACAGAGAGGAAGCTGTGTGGGTTAAGGAGTGAGTACAACATAGGAGATGTTCAGAAGCACTGAGGAAGTAGGGAAAGATGACAGTGGAGGGTAAGGGCATCACTCTCCATGACTTACCTTAGGATTCAAAACGGTTGAAGTGGTAACCTGTTTTTATGGCACCTAACTGGGTCAAGCTGTAACTTTATCTGCCTTCATCCTAGACTATAAGTTATTCCAGGAAAGGCTCATGCCTTTCCGAGACCTAGCATTGAGCAGAGTTTGGGTCTCAAGACTCACTGACCTCCTCAGCTCTCCTGAGCAACACCCATGCCCAAATGACCTTTCCCCACTTGCATAAAAGAAAACACTCTTTGAACAGTAGAGCAGGAGTAGCCATAATCAGCTGCATAGCCCTGCTGGGTCTGGCGCCATGCACCATCCAGCCCAGTTTTCCATCTCTGCAAGTGAGACCACAGAGTGCTTACTAACAAAGGATCAGATGTGCCCGAGAAGACAGGGCTTTTCATCTTGGAAACTGTTGGTAAGGGGGTTTGGTGTTCGGAAGACTGGCCCTGAAGAAGCCCTATTTTCAAGCCTCATTCACAGGAAACAGACTCCAGCCAAACCTGCTGTGGTTGCATGTGTTTTGGGAAGAGGTCAAGTAAGGAGACGGTGGGTTTATAAGAAACGTGGGGCTTTCCCAGAAATGTAGTTGAATAACCACATTAATTGTGACCCTATGTTGGAAAAGTTTAGTGTATTTGAATGTTGTCAAAGTTGTATGAGTTAAGGGATTTGCTGTCTTGACCCAGGGGAGACAGCATCTGGATTTTTCAGATTCTGTTTATCTTTCCCACTCCACCCCTAATGATTACTGGTTTATTGGCCAATATGACATTCGGACACTCGCAAGGCAGGTCCTCTCTCACAGCTGCAGGATAGAGCAGGGCTTCCCCTACTTCACTGTGCAGGTGAATTACCTGGAGATCTGATTAGAATGCAGATCTGATTCCAGAGTTCCGGGGTAGGGCCCGAGCCTCTGCTTTTCTACCAAGCTCCCTGGGGAGGCTGCTGCTGTGCCAAGGACCCCACTCAGAGCCATTCAGTGTTAGCTCCCCCTCCCTACCCTGGGGAAAGCTACCTGACTCAGTCACTGAGAGAGAGGGAGAGGGGGAGAAGTTACACACACACAGACCACTGGTTAAAGGATCTGAGATCTTATCTCAGTATGTTGTAAACATATGAACAAAAAACCCCTTAAAACTAAGTAATGGTTTCCCATGGCAATCATGCCATGTTAATCCCAACTTAAAATTTCCGTCTTGAATGAGATCATTTTTTGAGGGCAGAGACTGAAAACAATTGTTTCTGGTAAAACAAGTATGAAAAACGCACAGTATAAATATTAGTGAATTCAGTAGAACCCACTTTGATAGTCCTTTATCTTTCTGTTGGTGGACTCTTAAACTAAGGGTATCGTAATGTTTATTTATGATAGTGAGTTTAATGGGGCACATAACTGTTGAGTTTCATGACAGTACTTCCTAACACCGCTCTCTTCCCTTCACCACTGAAAAGCCTGTTTGTTTTCCCAGCCTATTTTAGCAGCAAGGGATGAGCATGTTTCAGCAATGAAATGTAAAGTCTTCTTGGGGCAAAGCTGATACTCAGAGTACTTAACCCAACATACATGGGGCCCAGCCCATAAGCCTATTTGTGTGTACAAACTAAATAGCATGCTTGAAGGGATTCTTGAGAAGCAGTCCTTCCCTGATAAAAGGGAAGGATGCAGAGGAGAAAACCCCATTTGCTCTTGCCTTGCTTCTTCCTACATGGGGTGCTCTTGTCTGGGGATGAGATGTTGGGAGCTGCAGCAGCCAGGCTGTAAATGTGAGAGGAGCAGATGAGAAAGAAAGATCCTTGACAGTGCCATTGGCCATTATGCAGCTGCCTCTGAACTTCTTGTTAAGTGAGATAATCTGTATTTTTATAACCTGATGCCAGTCAGATTTTCTATTATTTGCGCCTGCATGCATCTTGATGCAAGTATGCTTCCTGAGTAAGATGAAGTAGGGAACTCAGAGATCAGTAAGGTGCAGTAGAAGCCCCCAAGGCCCAGTAACCTAGGACTCATTCATCTGCACATTCATTCATTCTTTCATTTGTTCAAGAGTTGGTAAGAGAAGGCACTATGTTAGGGTGCCTGAGAACCACCAAGAAGGTACTGGCCCCTGTGCCCCTGGGAGCTGGTACGTACAGAGTCCACTCTAATACAAAGAAAAATGCGTTAGTGCTATAGAAATGGCTCAAAGGGAGGACGGTTGGAGCCTAGAGGAAAGAGGCAGGGATTTTTGTGGGTGAGATGGCATTTGAGTTAGACCCTGAAGCTTGAGTGGAGTATGACATACAGGAATTCTAGGGGCGAGGCCATCGCCATAGTAGATGGACTGGGCTTCCAAGACCAAGCTGGAAAGCTGGGTTGGAGCCATATTGTGATGGGCCTCGAATGCCTCGTTGGAGAATTTCAATTTGGACATCTTGAAAAATGTCGAAAATTTTCACAGTAGGAAGCAAATAAAGGAAGTGTTCTCAGCAGAAGAGGTGAGGCAGCTAGAAGAGTTAGGAAGCTATTACAAGGTCCACGTGGGAAGTAATGGAGAGCCGAACTGGGAGTGAGGGACCTGCTGTTTATTATTTATATTATGTCACATAAGCATGAAGTGAGGGGTAATATGCACAGGTACCATATAGACAAGCAATTAGACCTACAGTGGGGTGTTTTTTGTTGTTTGATTGCTCTGTTTTATTATTACTTGATTTTTTGAAGGGATCTCAAAGACAATGGCAAAGAACAGAGAGATGTTAGAGATGACTGGGGTTTTGAGCAAGGGTGACACAGAGAATGATTCTGCTCATGACAGGAATTGGTGAGTCGGGAGGAGGGGGTTCTGGAAGGAAAGGTGCTGCGTGGGACCTTGGGTGTATTTGAGACTCACTGTGACATACAGGTAGATCTATCTAGCAGTCCTTTGTACGTTCAACATGAAGTTGTATATTTGGGACTTGTCTGCAGGGAAGTAATATTTGGACTCAGGTGACAAACTAGAGTGCTGAACAAGAGGCAATTTCACTTGATTCAGGGATGTGACTCTAGACAATACGAGAATGTAATTCTACTGTACAAAAAAAAACTGACTAGAATTTTGCATTATAACTCCAAATGCTTTCACTTGTTGCATCTGTACATGGTTGACGTTTCATAGCCTAAAATCATCTCATTAGTGATATTGTACAGTCTTGTGTATCTGCATTGAAAGAAACTGGGCAAAATCTAGAAAGTGTGTGGCATGACTCCTCACTCCCCCAAATGGTTTAATCAGAGCACTGGTTCAATGTGTACTGTAGGTTTTATGGGTTTCAGTTACTTTCTCTAACTCGCCTACTTTTTTCTGCTCAGGCATATGCTGGAGTATCTGGGTAGAGACTCATGCGAAGTGGTTCCATTGACTTTGGGAGTTCTGTCTGTGTCTTCAGTGGAAACAGTGTCCTCAGTTGGAGCATTTATTTAAGAGGAATACTGCTGAAAGACTCCATGTCTGTGGAAAATTCTGTGTGTGTGAATTCACACACACACACACACACACACACACACACACACTACCTTATTACTCTGACCCATTTCCCCCTAATATTTTAGAGAAAGAGCTCACAGAGGACTTGATCTCTAAGTCTTTAAGTAAAACCAAGTGGATGGGGTGGTAGCAAGTAGATAGTGTTGTGTTTGGTGCAGCCCACGTTCCTTTCAGACACAGGGGGAGCAGCTCATACTCACCATCCAGAGTTCTGCATCGGGGTCATTTACCTGCAGTACGAAAACATCAGGTGTTAGCAGACACACTCAGGTTCTGTTCCCACATTTGGTCTGCTCTGCGATTCATCACAGTCATGGGTACATTCCAGGCGCTGCAACAGCCGCCCATAGGCAAGGCGGATAGGAAACAGGAGTGAGACATAGTCTAGCAGATCGTGATGGGAGGAGGGGCTTCTAGCTGAACACAGCAGATGGTTTGAACGTGCAGCCCACATATTTTTGTAAAGAACTGCAAGGAACTCTGAAAAGGGCGCTCCAGTCTCAGGGAATGAGGAAAGCTATTGGGAAGAGGGCGGAAAGTGAACTTGAAAGCCTGATTGTGCAATAAAGGGTTTTGTTCTGATTCCTGGCCTAGACCTTGAACTGTGTTTGGTCTCATCCGCAGGCAGAATATTAAGAAAGGTGCCCAGGCTGCTTCTGCTCAGGTCCCTTTCCAAGTGACACACGGTAAACCAGATCCCTCTAGCCTTTGAAGCAAAGAGAGGGGCGTGGCGGTCCCAGGAACACACTCGTGTCCCCGGTGGGGAGCAGGTGGGGTTCCAGAAGCACCACCCAATCCCTGTCCTCCACCTACACTACCTGCCTCTGAGACCCTGCCAGCTCCCAGGTCTCCACTGCAAGCCGGGCTGGGGATAGGGACGCAGATGGGGCCCCGGCACCTGTGGTTCCGCGGGCCCCTTCCCCACCGCCCGCCTCGGGGGCCAGGCCGCTGACCTGCACCACGGCCGCCAGCGTGAAGAAGGCGGCCATCAGCCCATTGCACGCCCTCCACAGAACCCGCGACCAGCGCCCGGCGTCTGGGGCCATGGGCTCAGTGAGCACTGGACTGGGCGGCCGGAGTCCAGCAAGGAAAGCCCTCCCTTCCGCCGGACGCCCGCCCTGCCCTGCCCTGGCTCTTCCCCGCCCCGCCCTCGGGTGCGCGCCCGGCGGGGCTGTAGCCCTGCTGGAGCCGCTGTGAGTTTGCCCGCTCGCTCTGCCCCGAAACGGGTGTCGCTGTCCCCATAGCAGAAGGCCAAAGTGATCCCCCAGGGGACTGGACGACTTGCATAGGCCCCGCAGCTCACTGGTGGTGGAGGGACGTCGCATTTGACCCCAGAGAGGTCCAACTCCAATGCTTGTCTTCAGTAAAGCTACCTTTCTCACGTTAAAAAGAGAGAGAGACAGAAAAGAGAGATAAGAGAAGGAGACAGATGCATGGGTGTTCGGGTGTGTTTTCTGGTTAGTATTTATGCATTTCTTTCCAAAGCTCAGGGATTTTCAAAGCCCACTAAGCATTATGGTAATTTTTTTTTACAGGGGCGACAGCTATATTAGCATCTTAAACAGTTCACAGCTTTTCTGCAGGCAGGCTCGGTTAATTCCATGGGTTTTTATTATAAAAGGTATTTACATAATATACATATTTACAATTCTTCCCCATCACCAAAACCAACAGAATTTTCACATGCATTGCTCATGAATTTCTTATAAACTAAAGACACTGAAATATTCACTGTTCTTCTCTTGCTTTATACTCTTTCTGTTGTGTAATTTACTCTTCTGATTAGTTCTCCCCCAGGCTCATTTACATATCCATGGGCCTCATCATTTTTGCTGTTCTAGAGTTTTCATCACTTCAGATCTAGCCTCCTCTCCTTTTCATTAATCTCCTGAAACTCTTCAGAAATTTCTTCTCTTGGTTTCATTTCTTTCCAGGAATACTTATTTCAGGAACACACTGGCTGGGTGCCTAGCCCCAGGCGACAGGTAGGGACAGGGAAGATGGCCTTGTGGTGTGCTCTGAGGGAAGGGAGCCTGCCCTCTGGCCGCAGGTGGCCCTGTCTGCGCAGTGGCCACATGGGGGGTGAAGTCTGGGCACGGTAGGCAGGCAGAGCCCCCCTGCTTGGAGCTGGACAAGGCTTCTTACTGAGTTCCACCACGAAATCAGCCCTGGGACTGGGGACAGCTGGAGACCACCCTCACTATCCTGTTTCTTATCTTTAAAGGAAAAAAAAAAAAAAAAGAGAGTGTTGTGGCTGAATTTTGTCCCCTGTCAATTCATACGTTGAAGTCTTAACCCCCAGTGCTTCAGAATGTAACTGTATTTGGTGACAGGGTCCTAAAAGAGGTAACTAGTTCATGACGAGGTCACTAGGGTGGGCCTTACTTAGCCCAGTATGACCCAATAAGACTGGTGTCTTTGTAAGAACAGAAGATTTGGACATGCACAGAGGAAAGACCGTGTGAGGACACAGCAAGAAGACATCCATCTGCAAGCCGAAGAGAGAAGCCTTGGAAGACACTAACCCTGCTGACACCTTGATCTTGGACTTCCAGCCTTGAGAACTACAGTCAGAAAACAGAAGCCTGTTGTTTAAGCACCTCCACACCTTGTCTGTGGTTTTTGTTACAGCAGTCCTAGCAAAATAATCCAGAGAGTGAGTATAATATCTGCTCTGCCAACCAAAGAGAGGTAGGGGTAGCGAGGAAAGAGCGACGACTATGGAGTTTTTAAATTCTCATTGTTGTTTGAGACCTTCAGGGTCACTGTGTGGACATTTGTTCTACTTGCCTGAACAGGGTCCATTGCCCCTTTTCTCAGACCAGCGTCACAATTATGGTGAAAGTGACCCCATTGCCCACCGCCAGGGCATGTATACTGGGAGGGCTGACCATGCTACCCGCTTTCCACAGATAGACAGGGGACCCTGGTGTCCCAGGCACATTGCCCATCTCACTGAGCTGGTCTGGGACGCAATGGCATCCAAATTGCCCAGATTCAGTTCTAGGACCTGTGCTGGACTGGGGATTGTCAGATAAAACACTGGATGCTTAGTCGTATTTGAATTCTAGATCAACTAGGGATCATTTGTTAGTGCGAATGTGTCCTACATATTTGTTAAGTCTGGGAACCCTAGCTGGACTGTTAGAAGCTTTCTTGTTCGGAGCATGTTGAGCTGGTATCATGTAAGTGGAAGTGCCCAAGGGACAGCATCCCTTAGAGTGAGCTCATGGAGAGGAAGCAGAACTCAGAGGAGAAGAAGGTTGATGACATCACTTGAGGCCACACCTGAAGCTGGTGACCACCTCTCAATGCTTCAGTTGTGTGAGCTGGGTTTTCGTCACTTGTGACACGGAATGATGACTTGCGCAGTCATGATTCAGTAGCTAAGCCAATGCCTGAAACCCTCTGCCCCTCCGCTCCCCCGATGTATGTTTATCCAGATTTTGCAGATACAGGAAAGAAGTCTTCACCTGAAATGCAATGTGAAATACATTTAAATGAATCCAGTGTCCCAGAGACCCCTGCTGGAGGGGTCACTTCACTGCACTTTTTTGCCAAAATGGCACACTACTGTAGAGATGCCAAGGCCTGGTTGGGAGCAGAGGCCTGTCAACGCTGGCTTCCCCAAGTAGAGAGGGTGGCGCAAAGGGCCTTCCTCCTGCCAGACTCCCCACCACCTGGCCGCCAGGTCAGTGAGAGATCAGGAAAGCAATCAGAGCCACTAGTGCCAGGCGGGGGAGATTTGCTTCTCCATCAGAATCCAACAGTGTCTGGGTAGCATGTGGATGTCTGTGCTCCAAGAACTGAGGAGGAGAGGTGCTTGCTTGTTCTCTGAGAGTGGGGTTATCAGTCCAAGGCTAGGAAATGGAGCAGCGGCTGGCGAGCTCACAGAAAGACTCAGATGGCCTCCCAGGGCCCCCAGATTGAGAGAGGGCTGACGAATGCATGGACATATCTAGAAGAGCATAAGCAGAAGAGGGCAGAGTCATGTCCACCCAGGAGGCAGGGCAGGCCCAGCCCACTCCAGCACAGGCTGGAGAGGTGCTTTGCTGCACTGGACAGGGTGCTCCACTGGACAAGGCCATTGTCCTGGGGACTCAAGTGACTGAGCTCTGCATAAGCTTATCCCTCTCCTTGCTGTGATCCTAGCACTCCGATTCCAGAGGCTGGGGCTCCACACCCAGCTAGCCTGCAGATTGCTGGAGGCGCTGACCTGCTGGCACCAACAGCCTGGTCAATGAGCCAGGTGCGTTTCTAAGGATATACTAATAGCATTGCTGTTCTCTTTTACAGACTCATTTACCTTGTACCATCTCCCTTATCCACATGTCTCCTTATATGCCAGGTGTCTGGGGTTGGGAAGAGTGAATAAAGCCTGAGGCAGGACAATCGCTGGTGTAGTGGACCCTCTCCCTATAGGGTATCCCGAAGGTGGGTATTGGTGAAGCCCACTGGGTGACATGTTCAGGGACAGGAATCCTGTCCTGTGCCAGACAGATATTGTCCTTTCCCTGCCTACCAAACGGGATCAGCAAAATTCCCCCTCCCTCTAGTCTGCCGATTCTTCATCAAGGAAGCTCGGGGGGAAGGAGGGTTGGAATAGGGCAGCAGAAGGATTCTGCTTTGGGCCACATACTTTGCTCCTAAAGTCTCTCCACTCGGACATGCACCCCACTGCAGCAAAGATTGGTCTGCTTCTGCAAAACCCACCTGGTCTCTGCAAAGGATGCAGGTTTCTACTGTCAGCAAAACTTTGACTGTATTATGAAAGCCTTAAAACTTACTCATTGATTGATGATGAAAGATACCTGACTCAAATAATGGTCCTCGATATCCTTGATGCCCCTACACACCTCCAGAAGTAGGACACGTGGGGCTCTCTGCACACATTTCTATCCCTCACTCTGCCCCCAGCATGTGAAACACTCACTGGGCTGTTTACTCCATTCAGTCACTAAATACTTACTCAGGCTCTGCTGTGTGTCAGGCACTATGTTGATGCCTGAGGATGTGACCGGGAGCAGAGGAGACACAGTCATTGTCTTGAGGAGCTTATAGACTAGACAGTAATCACACAAGCAGGCAGGTGGTCACAGCAGGTGACAGGCTGGTGCTGTGAAGGAAACATGAGGACTGCTGTGGGGATGTGTGAAATAAGGGGAACTGGATCCCTTCCATGGTTTCGGGAAACTTTCTGGAGAGAATACATCCAGGAATTCCTGAAAGAAAGATAAAGGGGCAAGTGCAGGTGCAGAAAGCATGGACCAGTGCTTAAAGCTGAGCGGGGTGGGGGGGGGGGCCCTGGGTCCTGATGCTCACCAGGGCCTTGAGGCCTGGAGAAAGACGAGGCTGGGAAGGTGCTGGTTGAGATGATTGGTTTTACCCCCAGGGCAATGAAGAGACTATGGAACACTTTGCTCCCATTCAGCTGACCTCTTAGCTATTGTAAAGACCAGGAAGATCTCACACCTCTGCCTTTGACCTTTAGGGCCTGATTACTTGAAGCCCTTTTGGAGGTAGAAAAAATCTTGATGTTATGACCTGGCTGTTGGAATTGTTGTTGTCCACAAGATGGCAGACTTCTGCTACCAATGGGGTCAGCGCCGCTCCACCGCTGGGTGGTGCCGGGGAGGAGGGAACGCAGGCTGGCCATGCTTCCCAAGGATCCTTTTGGAAGGTCGTGATCTAGACTCTCTGGGTGAGAGCACAGTTGGTATCAGCCCGAGGTGAAGAAGTGCAAACAGAACTCTGTACCAGGAAATACTCGTGTTCAAATGGGAGGTGCAGGGAAAGAGCTGGGCTTTAAAGCTGTGGGGCTGGAAGAACTCCAAACTGTTGTCCCAAGGTTACAGGAAAATCAGACATGCTTAAAAGGAGCAGTCAAAGCTTCTAATATCAGAACATTCCAAAAGTAAATAATAATGATAATGGCTACCAATTACTGAGTGTTTACTGCAAGCCCCGCTGCTGCCCTTTCACCTCCGGATGTCTGAGGGCCACGCCAGTCCCGAATCTCTACATCTAAACTTACACCTGCCCTGTCCCGCCACCCCCCTTCCCTCACTCTCTGGGTGCC